GAGCGAATACACGTCGACTCGATGGCGTGTCTATACGAAGCATACAGCGCGATGAATGGTACGACTACAAATGTGGCTATAGTCACTCTACTAAGGCTTGAAAGGAGGGAGTTGAGGGCCGGGTCAAGGAGACTTGTCGCTCTTTTTTATTTGGTTCCAGCGCCTACGCCCGGCTATCACTGCACAAACACAAAATACGGGGTCTGCGAGGCGACAGCCAGCGGGAGGCGTTTCGCTTTCAGCCCAAATCCCAGCCTTGTGCCTCCCGACCACGACATGGCGCGACACTGCCACCGCCGATCGACTCGCAAGGCTCTCCGTCGCACGTCCAAGTCGAGTAACGCGCCTTCCATCTCTGGCAGACGCCACGCCACGCTCTGCACAGATCGAGCAGGCGTGCTTCTACCCAAGGATGCCGGACGCTCAGAGCTTCACCAGTAAGCAGACGGTGTTCCCGGAATAGTCCCAGTCGCCGCGGACTCGTGCCAGGGTTCCCCGCAGCTTACCAGACCCCGCGCTGAAAGGCTTGCTAGCCGGACGGGCTTGAATGGATTCAGAACCCGAGGCGTCTCCACTTCCCTCAACCGCCCTGCTAGTTCTTGCTCAAGTCTCCTCTCGTTTGCAACCGCTGTCCCAAGGATCTGGTACGTGTCTGGGAGCGCGGTCGGCGCGTTGAGCGTAGAGCTTGAAGCCAACCTCCGTTCAGGTCAAACAAAAAGGCGGCAGCCATGGCGGACCCGACGGTAACAAAGACAGTGCGGACAAGAGACCTTGGTTTCCTCCCAATTCCCCCGCACTGTCGGCACCGGCCAGATGAGGTTTTCCAGCTCAGAATGTGGCAGACAGCCGTCTTTGCCTTGGCCAGCACATTCAGTACGCTTTCCCTTCATTCACGACCTTGCTTTTAGTTCTGATGAGCCCGATAGCTTGTTAGCATCTCGCACCAGTAACATCCGTACATCAGGCTGAATCAATTCCAGGCATGAACCTATACTATGTCCAGCCTATTCTAGGTGTGCCACTCGCCACATGGAATTCCGCCACTGCGTCTTATTCGCGCATGCAGTCCAGCTCTCGAACGAGTTTGATGTGTCCTATGTCGAAGTCTCCCGCATACCCTCACTATTACAGGCCGGGTACGCCGCTCTTCCGTGCCTATGTTAGCCTACTCAGCAATGTTCTTAGCTACGCAATCGGCCTGGTCTTCCTCTCGCCCCTCGGCGACCTCATCCACCGCCGCCAGCTCATCTTCCTCCTCATGACCGCCGCCGCAGGGCTGACCATTGGCCTCGCGATCACAAAGTCGCTCGTCGCGTTCGAGGTGCTCTCGTTCTTCGTCGCGGTCGTATCGATTACCCCGCAGGTGAGTCTCATCAGATATCTCTCCTGCGGAGATAAACTCGTGATATTGTCGGCAGGTCCTCATCCCGCTCACCGCCGAGCTCGCCCCGCCGCACAGGCGCGCGTCGTCAATCGCCGTCGTCATGAGCGGCCTGCTCATGGGTGTCATGCTCGCCCGTGTTTTGTCGGGCATCATCGCACAGTTCTCGAACTACCACAATATATACTGGATGGGCGTCGGTGGTGCGTCCGTTTTTTCCCCTTTCCCCACTCTCTTACGCTGACACCACCCAGGGCAATTCCTCCTCCTCATCGTCATGTACCTCATCTGCCCGGATACGCCGCCGAAGAACCCCGACCTGACCTACTTCCGCATCCTGGGCACGATGGTGCACTTCGCAGTCACCGAGCCACTGCTCATCCAGACCGGCCTGATCCTCTTTGCCGACAGCGCGATCTACGCGGGCTTCTGGGTCACCATGACCTTCCTGCTCAGCGGCGCACCGTACAACTACTCCACGTGCGTTCCCGACTCTGGTGCTGATGCTGACCCTGTAGTATATACTCATGCTGCAATGAACGGATAGGCTAGACATCGGTTTATTCGGTCTCGTAGGTATCTTCGGGATCATGACCGCGCCCTTCGTCGGGCGCCTCATCGACGGGCTCATCCCCTGGGCGGCGGGCCTGCTCTTTATCGGGCTCATCCTGATTTCGATGGCGATACAGACCGCTGCGGGCGGGATCAATGTCGGCGCGGTGGTTGTCGCGATATTTGGTGCGTGTTTTTGATTTGGTGCGAGGGAGGGTGTTGATGTACGTGGGTGGACAGTGCTGGATGTGGGCGTGCAGGGGCTGCAGGTGGCGTTGACTACGAACGTGTTCAGGTGAGTGAGGATGCCGGGTGTCGGGTTCTGGTGGTTGAGTGAGCGCATGGTAGCATCAACCCCGATGCACGGGCAAGGCTGAATGCTGTCGTTATCCTCTGCGTACGTATGTCCCTCCTTCCCATCCTCGTCTCTCCCACTGACTCCTCTCCTTCCTTCAGATCTTCCTCGTGAGTGTCTTCCCCGTCCCCTAATCGTACTCACTCACACGCATGCGGCAGGGCCAAGTAATGGGCACGTCCGTCTCGACGCGGCTCTTCGTCGAGGGCGGGTACCGCGCGGTTGGCTACTTCGCGCTCGGGCTCGCGGGCTTGGACCTCGTGCTCCTCTTCCTCCGCGGCCCACATTTGCCGAATAATAGGTGGGTAGGGTGGGCTGGCGGGTTTGGGATGAGGAAGGTGAGGCCTGGGGAGGTGACGGTGAAGGAGGCGGTGGAGGAGGTGGTGGACCATATGGCGGAGGAGGGTCAGGATGGAGGTGGGGGAGGTAGGAGGGATGTTGAGAAGGCGTAGTTGCGCCGGTGGGTATAGAGGGTAGAGCGGTTAGTTTGCATGATTGGCTAACAGTAATAATAGTAATAGATGTTTTTCTTGGATGGGGGGCGTTGGTGGTGGTGCGAAAGAACAGAGAAGGTAGAGTTGTTGGCAGAGCAGAGGTGATGAGAGATGGTGTGCCTGAATGGTAGGAGCATTTGTACATGTACATGTCGGGCCTGTTCTAATCGTCTATCGTATCCAGCTTGTACCTGTGTTCTAAGTTGCCCGGTACCGGTGTCTGATGGACGTTCTGGAGAAGATTTGAGAGCGTCGCCTGTGCCAGAGTCAGTTCTGCCTTTTCTCTGCCTGCGTCGTATAAGATCAGACAGCGAAGGGAGGGTGTGCAAACATCTAATCATGGTGACCCAGTGGGTGGTGGTCGTTCCGTCGTACTTGCCGCACTTCCCCTTGCAAGAAGCAGCTGAACAACATGCCAGTTCTTCATACTTGCAGCATTCTTTACTATCATTGGACCAGTAGTGAATGATTTGAACTGTTCCCTAGTTAAGTCATCTTCCTCCGATTGCACGTACCCCAGAATTGATGTGAATGGTTCAGATACTATTCTATACCCTCTGCAAATTTCTCAGATTTTTCCAGAGGGCGTAGAGGTTGTACGGCGTAAGGGGACGGGAAGTGAATAAGGTGTCACACGTGTCACAATAGGGCTGTGGCGGGGCAGCGGTCACGCTCTGTCACGCTTAGACCTCGGAGATGCAAGACAGTTTTAAATCCTGGACGATGACCACTCCTCCGTTCCACATACAAACTTGAACATGGCATATACAGACATTTATTATTACAGAGAAAAATTTCCAAAGGTATAGGGTAGCCACAAGGTCCCCAGTGCACAAAAGGGACGGGAAGTGAATAGTTATTCACTACTGGTCCAATGATAGTACCTGGACCGAAACCGTGCCAAAACTTGTCAGGAACCAGCTAAATGGACGAATGCGATGATGTTGAACCTGTCCTTGAGCCAGAGGCACCCGGCGCGAGGTCCGCGGTTCTGTCCAGCGATGAGTTGATTTGTCGAACGCAGACCCTGCACAGTCACGATTACGGTGGCGGACTGTCCCAAAACCAAGGGGTGGACACCGGGAGAAGCCGAGACCGCATGAAGGGGGGAGGGGGGGGGTCTCGAGGGCCTTAACAGGAATTTATTAAAAATAGATTTGGCTCTGTGACAGCCCTGATGGCAGAGATATGGTACAGGTGGTACTAAAATTGCTTGCTAGTGAGGGTTACAGGGCTATATTAGCCAGGACAACCTCGCCTTAGCCATTGCACGGAAGAAAACATAAAGCGTGACAACATAGAGTGTGACAATAGAGTGACGTGTGGGAGCACTGAAAGATGACTAAGCAATGTGCCTGGAATCAACCTTCCCGATATGGTACCGTGGAATGCTCCCACGGGGGGGAGGGGGGGGCCTCTGGGACCTTAGCAGGATTTCCTATGATGCGGTCTAAAATTTTATTATTGTCCACCCCTTGCCCAAAACGTATTCTGGGCCGACTACAGACATACATGACTCGATAGCTGCTTCATACATCCAATACTTAGCAGCCCAGGATGGCAATTCTCTTGAAAAGGATGTTGCACCCAAGGTTGCCTTGGGGCTGCCGGGGTGGACAGCAGGTTAGATGGGAAGTATCGCTGCGGAATACCACAGATTCAGAGGACGAGAGCTACTAGTATTGCGAGACGAATGTAGCGTCGATGCGGCCTGACAAATGGAGGAAGAACGACGAGGCCTTGAGGCTATAGAATGTGGGGCTATGAGAGTTTTGTTGCAATCGCTCCTCAGGCATGGGATTCCGGGATGCCTCAGGCCGGGAATAAGTCCGGCAAGTCTACGAAGGACCTGATAGACTACATACCCATACCTCCGAGTCCAATACCGTCCTCGGACTAACCACAAATTCCTGCCAGTATGTTTCAAGGGTGTATTCCGGTGAACGTCCGACAGGCTAGGCCATATCACATACGTACCCCAGATATTGCGCTGTAAGTGAAACAGTGGAGTCGAATTGGATGGGTTTTCTTCATGCCTGACAGATTTGGGCGTGTGCTGACCTCGTTTCGCCCATAGTTCCACTTACAGGCACGCTTTTCAGCTGTCCCGGTCTTGCGATTCGGATTAATATCTTCTGCCATTATCTACGAATAAGTTCTTCGTCTCTTTCTCTGCCGACTGCTCATGAAATTCGAAGGAATATCGCCCATAACTGCACCCGTCCTATTCGCCTGACCAAATTGGAGGCGCGTAACGTAAGATGGTGAATGTCATGTTCGGATGGGAAACTGACCATTGAATCCCGTCAGCGTAAAGGCGCGCAAGCGTAGTGATCTTGTTGGAGAAAGATCGAAAACCTCGGCATGTGCATTCACTCCGCCCTCGCTGAAATACGCTTGTTATGGTAGGCGATTCACCGCCACCACTACCGCCTAATTTTCCTGCCATGCACTCAACTGGTGTGTCTTCAGCCTTCGATTACGCAAATAAAACTGCACCGGGCTTCGTGAAAGCCGAATTGTATACCTGCAACCTCTTTCTTCGCCATTAAAACTTTCTGTTAACCCATTCAATCTTCTTACGCCCCTTGACAATGGCCAAGCCACATTCTCCTCCAACCGATAAGACCGTTCATTCGGCACCGACGTCAGCCTTCGATCGCTTCAACAGCGCTACTGCTTCGCACACCATGCTCGGCGTCTATCACGCCATCATATCATACTCTCCCCCACTCGCTCGGTGCCTTAGCGTTTGGAGCGTCCGTCAATCTGACAACGAGGGCGTTTATATATAAGTATGCCCCCGCCGTAAGGGTCCAGTTCACCTTCTTCTTGCACCATTGCGCGACCAAGATTCGAGATTCGAATCCGCCATGTCTCCCACCGCATCTGAGAAGAAGTTCTCTCCGGATTTGGAGCAGCGCTCGGTGAACGGGACTGATTGGGAAGGGTCAGAAGACGCCAGTGTTATTATCGGCAGACAGAGGGCAGAGGAGGGGGAGCATGAAATCAAGTACCGGACGTGTTCGTGGCAAAAGGTAAGCAGAGGCGACCGTCTTTCTAGTCTGGGGGGAATCTGCGAGCTCGGCAGCACAGTACTGACTATACATCGTTCGATAGACCGCCGCACTATTATTCTCCGAATACATCTGCCTCGCCATACTCTCCTTCCCATGGTAGGTCCCCCGCCCCCCCCCCTGCAATTCCGCTGACCTGTCCCCCGCAGGTCATTCTCGGTGCTCGGCATGGTCCCAGGCGTGATCGTGACCGTCGCGGTCGCGATAAGCGTCCTGTACACCTCGCTCGTGCTCTGGCGCTTCTGCCTGAAGCACCCCGAGGTCCGCGACGTCTGCGACATCGGTCGGATCCTCTTCGGCGGCTCCGATCTCGCGTACAACGTCACCGCCATCTTCTTCCTGCTGAACAACACCTTTATCCAAGGTAAGCTTATTCCCCGCCGCCCGTCCGCCTCACCTGACGCGCCTATCAGCCCTCCACTGTCTCGTCGGCGCGAAGCTGTTGAACACGCTGACGAACTCGGCGACGTGCACGATCACGTTTTCCGCCATCGCCGCGATCGCGTGCTTCTTCGTGTCCCTCCCGCGCACGCTCAACCAGCTCTCCGGGCTCGGCGTGTTCAGCGCGGTCACGATGGGCATCGCCGTGCTCCTCGCGATCATTTTTTCAGGCATCCAGGACCACCCGTTCGGGTATATCCCCGGCCAGGACCCGATTGTGACTACTATACCTGTCAAGGGCACGTCGTTCGTGCTGGGTGCGTGTTCTCAGTCTGCAGGATTATTTTTCGTGAACTCTGACCGGCCCGGCTGTAGGAATGTCGGCGTTCTTGAATATTAGCTATACGTTCATCGGCCAGATCACGTTGCCTTCTGTAAGTATACTCAGAATCGCAGTTGTCTCCCGTCGCTTACCTGCCCACTTGCGACAGTTCATTGCCGAGATGAAGGATCCCAAGGATTTCCCGAAGGGTGAGCATGCCCGTGTCATCGCTTGCCACAAGTCACTGACTCGCCTCCAGCTCTCTGGGCCGTGACCATCGCAGAGATTGTCGTCTTCACCATCTGCGGCGCTGTGATGTACCACTTCGTCGGTAAGTCGCCCCGGGCACACCGCCGCTGCGTGTCGTTGCTGAGTGGACGTTTCACCACATAGGCAACCAATATATGACCTCCCCAGCTTTCGGCTCGCTCACCCGCACCTACAAGCTGATCGCCTTCTCCTTTGCCATCCCGACGATCGTCTTCCTCGGCGCTCTCTACTCGGTACGTCCCTTCTTCCTCCAAACTTGCTTTCCATCTAATAAATTTGATCCTCACAGTCTGTCACCGCCCGCTTCATCTTCTTCCGCATTTTCCGCAACTCGCACCACCGCCACTCGAATACCGTCACCGCGTGGGCCACATGGGCCGCCATCGTCGCCGCGACGTGGGCGCTCGCGTTCGTCATCGCGGAGGTGATTCCCTTCTTCTCCGACATGCTCAGCTTGATGAGCTCCTTGTTTGGTACGTTCGCGTGTTTCTTCCCTTCCTCTGTATACGTCGGATTACTGATCACGACTTCGCTCTAGATGGGTGGTTTGGTTTCATCTTCTGGGGCATGGCATACCTCACGTTCTACCCCGGCGCCTCGAAATGGGCGGGCCCGTGGCGGACAGCCGAGACGCTGCTCAACTACTTCCTCATCCTCGTTGGGCTTTACATGCTCGTCGCAGGAACCTATGTACGCTCATCCCCCCTTCTTCGTGCATGTGCTCAATCTAACCTGTATGTGGCCTCCGCAGGTATCAATACAGTCGATCATCAACGACTACCACGCCAACCTCGTCGGGTCGGCATTCTCTTGTGCAAGTAATGCTCTGTAATTGTGATACCAGTAGTGTGGAAGAACGTCTAGATTCTAGAGTACATACAAACTTACATACATCGCGGAGGGTATTTATTTTGTTTGATGGGCCACCATCTATCACCCATCACCGGTCACAACTAGTTCGTCGCTCGGAACATGATCAGACAGAAGCGCGTCCATCTGCGCAGCCCAAGGAACATGCACCGTGTGGCAGAAAGATCTGAAGATGAATACGAGATGGTGCAATAGTCTACAGTAAGGTCGTCATTTAGAGTGTGGATGGCGCAAGTGCATGTCATTTGCGCCTTGATCATGAGGAGGATCGTGATCAAAGATTAGATTAGATATCGAGACCGAGCGCCTCCCTGCGGGATTTGGAGTTGGGATCGAAGTAGGGGCGCTCGCCGAGGCTGACGATGCGATTGCCCTGGCGGTGCTCCTTGTAATCGTGGCTGCGCGAGCACAATACAATCAGATTTACGTGGAAAAAGAGGGGGGAGACGGATACGCACGTAGCGGTGTGGAATGTGCACCGGTTGTCCCAGATCGCGACGTCGTTCTGCCGCCAGCGGTAGCGCACCTGGAGGTCGTGGTTCTCGGAGATGTGGCGGAAGAGGTAGTCGAGCGTGTGCACGGACTCGTCGGGTGTCAGCTCGACGATGCGTTTCGTGAAGCTGTATACAAGCCATGTGAGTGAGAAGGAGGGGAGGACGGGTGAAGGGCTACGTACGATTTGTTGACGAAGAGCGTTTTGAACCCTGTGACGGGGTGCGTGCGAATGACAGGGCTGTATTTGCAGTGATATCAGGGAAGGGCTTGGGAAGCCTATACGGATGATACTGACTGGATAGCGGTAAGGTTGCTCCCCGTGTTTTCTGGAGCGCCGCGCGGGTCTTGGATGGGTATGCCGCGTGCACGAGCGTACTGGATTCAATGCATAAGCGGAGGCGGCGGCAGGGACAGAGACGGTATACGCACGTCGAGGAAGAACGTGCCGTCGTGGACGGCTGTGAGTCCCTCTAGGAATTTCTTGTAAGCCGGGGAGAGCCTGTCGTATGCTTCGTAGCCGCTGGCCCACTGGGAAGGGTCGTTAAGAGGGGTCTGCGGGATGGGTTTGAATAGATGGTAAGCGTACCAGGGTATCGCCTCCGACTATACACAGGATAGTATAGGATTTAGACTTGATTGGTAGGCTAGGCTTGGCGCGTCTTACCTTTCGGTAGCGTGTGCATCTTTAGGATCTGCATGGTGCGGGTGATAAATAGGGTAGGTATGGTGACATTAAAGAACATTCACGTACAGCGTAGTCTGAAGGTACCGGTTCGAAAGTGATATCTGAGTGCCATCCACTACTGGCACGTGTTCCCTCTACGAAGCCCGCACGTGCAATCCCGCTACACCGCTATCAACACTCATCCACGCACACTCTGCCCGACAGCACTCACCCCATCGAGTCAATCACGCTCACGTCCTTCCCCAGCTCCGGCGTGTTCTCAGAAATCGGATGCACATGCAGCCCGCTCGTCTTCGGCTTGCCCGCGAGCTCGCCGAGGCGCTGGCCGAGCACCTTCTGCTGCTCGTGGGTGATGTCTTGGTCCGTGAAGAAGACGACGCCGCGGTGCGAGACGAGCGTTGCGAGGTCGCGCAGGAGCTGGTCCGCGTTGGGCGCGGTGAGGAACTGCGACAGCTGCACGGACTTGTCGGGAAAGCGCGTGCCGATCTGCGTCGTCTCGTCCTCGGGGTTGTACGCGGCGAGCGAGCCGGCGAGAACGTTTGGCACGACACCCATGTTGTAGTTTCGCGGCTGGGTGGGTTACTGTGGTTGCGGGGAAGGGGCGGGGAGATGGGGTTGGACGGACGTGGGCACTGGACATGTCGTGATTTATGAGCGATCGATCGAGGCAAGCAATTGCAAGGCAGCACGCAATCCGTCGGCGCGATGAGCCGCGGATGAGCCGTGCTCCCTTTTCCTCTGATAGTGGGTGCGATATCGTGCTGGTTCCATGAGTTGCGATAGTATTCGCAAACTCAGACAACGGGCTTCTCGATAGTAAGTGCAGGGAACACATGATAGGGACGGGGGCATTTAGGGGCTGTTGTGCGGGGGAAACTCACTGCCAACGTTGCTTGTATTCAGTCGGGATGCCAGTTCAGAGTCGTTTCCATCCTTTTTGTCCAGATGCATCGCCGTCATGCCTAGCTTGACTAAATGGTAGGACTCAAAAAGTGTGCGAAGGAGCACAGAGGAGCACAGCTGCCGATAGACTCGGTATTGCTTTTCTCGCTAGTCTCCTGACAGGACATGCTCCTTTCTGTTGATAAGGACGCATCACCTCGAGCGCGATAGAGTGAGAGTAGGTGAAAACCTTAAGATGGCTGGGAGATTACGTCTGGCACAGGTCCTAATTCCGAATTCAACCGTGAACCGCGCTGGTTTGTGTCCACATATTGGCTGGGAGGTCGGCTCTGATAGACGAGCTAGATAGGCGATACCTATGACTATACAAAATTGTATCAGTATCTACTTGACGGGCTCAACGGCTCCCTGGTGATACTAGGTTCACCTAACTAACGTCGCCAGGGCCAGTGGGGTAGGCGAAAACGCCACAATGCGAGGCAGTGAACAGCCACCGCGTATGGTCCTGTTTGCGCGCTCTCCCTTCAAGCTTCAGTGGCAGCCCTCAGCGTCGACGTATCGTTCCACAGGCCGTCGTTCGACAGACGGTACTTGTGCGACACCGATACTTACTGCATCAATATGTTGAGTTTACGATGTGAAGAAATGTTTTCACCACCTTCACTGTGACGAACGCGCTCGGGTATATACGGGCGCCCTTCCCCTTTTCCCCTTTTCCTTTCCCTCAGTCGTGTCGCATACGGCTGAGGTGAGTTTCATGCCCACACTACAATATTGATGTACCTGACAGCATGTACTAGATTCACTGTCACTAGGTACATACATTGCTATACAAAGTCGTGTCGCATACGGCTGAGATTCACTGTCACTAGTTTCTACAGGTTATGAGCCCCTAACGACTCGTGTTCTCGCAAACCGAGTAGCGGAAACTTCTTACTTTTGAATCTCGTGCCCGATTTGCTTCCGAAGCGCCCACCTACGCGCGCATCACCCTCGTTTTCGCGCCCTATCTCTCGTCGACGCACCCTCTGCAGTCTCTCGCTTCACTCGCTTCATCCCCTTCACTCGTCGTTTTCTCGCTTGCTATGACCATTGGCACTGAGCTCTCTGAGGCCATGTCTGGTACCCTGTCTGCCCCGAGTCCCGCTGATCCTCCTGGATCCTCTGTCGTCCCTCCTCGAGCCGTCGCACCCACAATCCCCGTCATCCCAATCCCCCCGACCTTGCTGGCCGCGTCCAACGCCCTTATCCTCGACCTCACGAAGAATAACTGGCCAGACTGGTCCCATCAGGTCGAACAAACCCTCCGGCTTTCTGGTCTTGCCGGATATATTGACGGGCGTATTGCTCAACCCTCTACAACGTTTGATCCTGTCGGCGCTAATAACTGGTTGTCTAACAATGAAGCTATCCTCGGGTTCTTCAGCCTTCGCGCCGTCAAGGAGGAACGCCGTTTCATCGACAAGGCTGGTACCGCAGCCGCTGCTTGGGCCGCGCTCCGGGTCCGTCACGAGCAGCAAGGCCCGCTAGCCCAAATCTTGCTCATTCAGGAAGCTTTTGCTGTCCGGTACTCTCACTCAGAGCGCTTCGCAGTCACCAGTAACCGTCTCACGGAACTCGTCAAGCGCATATATGCTATCGGAATCCCAACCGAAAGTGCATTCCTCTCTATCGTCATGCTGAATGCTCTCTCTGCAGAACTCCCGGGCGTCCGTGATCACGTCGCCACTGCCCTGGCGAATGCTACCTCCGACCGTCCTGTCACCGCTGAAGATATTCGTCTACGCCTCGATTACGAACAACAGCTTGTCGATAACGCTGCCGCTACTGCCGGATCTGTCGAGGTCCTCGCTGCTCAGTCCGTTACAGCTCGGGCTAAGGTTCCCAAGAAGATCTGTTCTCACTGTAAGGCGAACGGCCATCTCGCTGACACCTGCTGGGCTCCCGGCGGTGCTATGGCTGGCCGACGCGATGAGGTTCTTGCGGCCAAGCGTTCTCGCCCTCCGGGCCCTGGCAAGCCTACTCCCACACCGTCTACGCGATCTGCGCCTTCTGGTGCTGGACCTCGTCGCGACGAATCTGGCCGCGCGTATTTGCTTGACAGCATCACCGGTGAAGCGTTCTACCTCGCCGATGCCGGCACTTCCTCCCTAGCGGCTCTTGCAACACAAACGGCTGAACAGACGGTGCTTCACACCGACGCCTACCTCCCATCGCCCGACTGGCTTGCTGCCTACCACGACTCCATTGGCGACCGCTTCGAGTACGAGAGTTACCTGACTCTCATGGCGGACTTTACATGCAACGTCGACTGGTACCAGAGGAGGAGAACTGATATCGCGCTCGCTTCTGCCGCAATCGAGCCTCTTACTTCGATGACTCGATCTCGCGCTCCTCTCCAGAACCCCGACTTGCACCCGTACATCTTGGACACTGGTGCTACCGCTCACATTTCACCCGAACGTAGCGATTTCATGGAGCTATACCCCCTGCCAGCCAGTCTCATCAAGGGTGTTGGTGGATCCTCCATCCACGCTGTTGGCATCGGCAAGGTCAAGATCCACGTCGCACGGGGCATCACGCTGGTACTCGACAAAGTCCTCTATGTTCCTCAGGCAACGGTTCGCCTCATCTCTATAGGCGAGCTCACTTCTAGCGCAAATCTGGTTGCTCACTTCAGTGGGACGTCTTGCTGGCTCACGAAGCCTAACGGTACTATCGTCGCCCGTGGTCCCAAAATGACTCGGCGCCTCTACCGCCTCGACGGTCCTCCCCCTTCCATTGAGTATGCGAACTTCGCCGCCCGCATCCCTGACGTCGCCACCTGGCACCGACGCCTCGGTCATACCAACCCTCGCTCCATAGTGGAGATGGCCACCAAACGTCTTGTCGAAGGTATGCGCATCGACATCTCTTCCGAACCTCCGAAATGTGACCACTGTATCCTCGGGAAACAGGTCAAATGTTCGGTACCCAAGGTTCGAGAGGGGGCGAAGGCTACTAGGGCGCTAGAAATCGTGTATGCTGACCTCATGGAGGAGTCAGTTGTATCAGCTTTGGGCAACAAATATGTATTGAACCTCATAGACGATTATACATCATTTCCTTGGTCACTGCCTCTACGTTCGAAAGACGCCGCTTTCCAACACCTCCAAGATTGGGAGCGCGCTCGTGAACTCGAGACCGGATTCCGCGTTGGCACCTATCGCACCGATAATGGCGAACTGAAGAGTGATAAGATGTCTGCATGGCTTGCATCTCGTGGTACCCAACAACAGTTCACCGCCCCACATACTTCCGCGCACAACGGGCGTGGCGAACGTATCCACCGTACCCTTCGCAACAAGGCACGTACCATGCGTATCCAATCTAACCTTCCTGAGAATCGCTGGGACGAACTCATCCTCACTGCTTGTTACCTTACCTCGCGCACGCCCTCTCGTTCTCTCGTTGGGAAAACCCCTTTCGAAGCCTACTATGGCCGAAAACCGAATCTCAGCCATCTACGTGAGATTGGTTGCCGGGCATTCGTCCTCGTCGAAAACAAATACAACCCTAAGATCAAACCACGATCTATCGAATGTGTCCTTATCGGCTACAGTCCCAATTCCAAAGCCTATCGCTGTTACCACCGCCCTACACACCGCGTTATCACCTCGTTCAACGTTCAATTCATTGAGTCCCACGAAGCACTCCCTCGCGTTGTCCATCCCGGACGCATACTCGGCGACTCCTCATCCTCTCTCCCTCCTACTGACACTGGCATTGATCCCCTTGATTCAAATGATGACGATACCGCAAACACTCACGGTCCTTCTGTCCCCGCAGTTACCTCAAGCCCTCAAACCATTTCAAACCTCCCCCTTACTGCGAATCCCCTTGGTGTACTTCCCCCCAACAGCGATGACCCTCCCCTGGTTTCTCCCATGGACTCCCCTTTTATTTCCTCACCATCCTCTCCCCCTGATTTTCCACCCCACGACCCCAATCCCGTCACCGACACCATTCCGCTTCCCACACCCCGTCGCTCCTCTCGCGTCCCCATTCCTAGCGACAAATTCGCCCTCGCTCACGATCTTCCCAAGATTGGTCCTGTCCAACAGGCCGTTGCTGAATCCCGGGCCATCGGCGCGCGCCTCCACCAAGAACGTCTTGATCGTCGTGCTGCCACTTCCCCTCCCACCATCGATGAAGTTCTGTCCATGCTCCACGAATCCTTTGCCGCCCTCCAGGACGGCCCTATTGATGTCGAGTTCCCGGACGACCCCAAAAACCTGAAAGAAGCCATGTCCTCCACTGACGCCGCCCAATGGCATAACGCTTTACTCGAGGAATTCGCCTCAATCAAGGAACTGGGTGTCTACAAACTTGTCCCCCCTTCTGCGGTCCCTCCCGGCCGCAAGCTCATGCACGGCCGCCCTGTTTTTCGTCTGAAACGTGATGCCACCGGCGCGCCCGCTCGCTACAAGGCTCGCTATGTCTGCAAAGGCTACGAGGCTGTTTTTGGTTTGGACTACGACAAAACCACCTCTCCTACCATGCGCATGGAGTCATTCCGTGTCCTTCTCCATCTCGCTGCCGCACTCGACTGGGATGCTCAGCAGATCGACATCAAGACTGCGTTCCTCTATGGCTTACTTCCTCCTGGCGAAACTTGCTACATGCAACAACCTGTCGGCTTCGAGGAACCTGGCAAGGAAGACTGGGTCTGGGAACTTCAAAAGGGACTCTACGGGATGAAACAGGCCGGACGGATTTGGAACCGTACGATGCATGATCGCATGGTCGAACTCAAATTCACCCGCCTCCCCTGCGAGTACTGTCTTTACTACCGCCAGGACGAATCAGGCGTCGTAATCGCGGGTGTCCATGTTGACGACTTCCTGTCCATCGCAAACCCTCCCGAGGCGAACGCTCGCTTCAAATCACAATTGCGTGAAAAGTGGCAAATCAGTGATCAAGGTGATGCCAAGTTCTGTATTGGAATCGCCATTGAACGTGACCGCGCTGCACGTACTGTCTCCCTCTCCCAAACTGCCCTCATCGACCGTATCATCGCCCAGTTCAACATGAAAGATGCTTATCCCATCGCGACGCCAATGGATGCCGGTCTCCGCCTCTCACGTACTGAACATTCGCCGAAGACCGAGGAGGAGAAACTCATAGCAGCCACACTCCCGTACCGCTCCCTCATCGGATCTCTGATGTATCTGGCTGTAGGTACCCGCCCGGATATTGCGTACGCGGTTCAACATCTCAGTCAGTTCCTCGACTGCTACGGTTCCGCCCACTGGGACGCCGCCAAGCGCATCATACGATACCTTAAGGGAACTAGAGAACTCAAGCTCGTACTCGGCGGACCACGCACTGCGCAGCTTGTCGGCTATACTGACTCTGGCTACGCTATGTGCCCCGATACTCGTCGGTCCGTCGGTGGCTACTGCTTTACTCTAGGCTCTGGCGTTGTTACTTGGTCCTCCCGAAAACAGAAAACAGTATCCCAATCATCTTGCGAATCCGAGTACATTGCTGCTGCCGAATCAGCAAAGGAACTCGTCTGGCTACGGACTCTCCTCAATGGCATCCACTTCGAGCAACTCACGCCAACCCCTCTACTCTGCGATAATACAGGTGCTATCGTTCTCTCCAGTGATCCCTCATTCCACAGCCGCACAAAGCATATCGACGTCAAACATCATTACATTCGCGAACTCAGTGATTCCGGCGCGCTGAAGGTTAGCTACGTCAACACTAAGGACAACGTCGCCGACATCTTCACGAAAGCGTTGGACGCCGGGCCATTCATTCGCTTGCGTTCATTTCTAGGCCTGCACAAAACCCCTTCATCATTAGGAGAAGCTGAAGAAGACGCGTCAACTTGAGGAGGAGTCACGAACGACTTCGCCATGCGAGGAGGAGTCACTTTGGACGATTCGGTGGTCTTCTCATCGAGGAGGAGTGTTGAGTTTACGATGTGAAGAAATGTTTTCACCACCTTCACTGTGACGAACGCGCTCGGGTATATACGGGCGCCCTTCCCCTTTTCCCCTTTTCCTTTCCCTCAGTCGTGTCGCATACGGCTGAGGTGAGTTTCATGCCCACACTACAATATTGATGTACCTGACAGCATGTACTAGATTCACTGTCACTAGGTACATACATTGCTATACAAAGTCGTGTCGCATACGGCTGAGATTCACTGTCACTAGTTTCTACACAATAGGACACTCCTTTGACAGAATCTTTCTAGAGGCTAACGACGTCCTGTTTATGAATCAGGTGCCGAATCCAAGAGTGCCACACGGAAGATGACTGCAGCACCAGCCTGATCCGCATAATACATCATTCTGAGCAACATGGTTAACACAGCAGAACTCTTTCCTCTCATGATAATGTCCTACTACAGCGTTTTATTATCCGGCGCCTGGCCATTGTTCTCGACTGATCTTCGTGCCACCGAGGGCGTCTGAAGTAGAGCTCATCCGACTATCCTCTTCCTTGACAGCACCCACTTACCACGGCCAGTACTATTTTTCTTTTAGAAATATGAGCTACACATCCATCGGCCCTGGACTCTATCTACCCCTCGAGCTATGCTACATTATTTGCCTTGATATACGAAGCAGCGAAAAGTATGGGAAACGAGACCTTCTGGACCTTGCTCTAAGCTGCAAGCATTGGCTGGATCCCGCGCTAGACGTCCTCTGGGAGAGAGTTACTGGCCTCGAACCTCTTCTCGCATTGGCTCCGCAGACCGCTTTGCGGAATAGACAATTATTGCACGGCGTAAGTGGCATGCATCTTCATTGGCATGCACTTACATAAAGGTTAATGGGCTTCTTCCCTATGCTCCTGTGAAGAATGCCGATACCTCACACCTTGTGGTGGATTGGACGCGTTTCGACGTGTATGCCCATCGCATACGGGAGATCAAAGCCACTTCCTGCTGGGGGGGCAGAACTAGCTACGATGAAGACGGCTCTGACATAGGTCACCTGGATGCAGACGAGTCCATCGACAACTCTGAAAGCATCGGCACTGGAGGACGTGCCTGGGTTGAAGACAGTTCGGGAGAAGAAGAAACTAGAGAAGGTCGAACTGCAGAAGCAGGATTATTGAAAGGTGATTCTGAGCAAGGCGATCCTGGAGACGACTCTCGCGACAACCACTCTGACCAAACCAATGCTGAAGGATACGCCTCTCACGACGGCGGCTCCTTTGGAGAAGACAGCTCTGGAGAGGATGGTGCTGTGGAAGATGACTCTAGACAAGGCAATCCTCGAGAACACGACTCAGAAGAAGGCAGACTTGTCAAAGGTGACTTTGAACAAGACCGCCCTGAAGAAGGCGGTCCTATTGAAGATGCCACTGAAGAATGGATATCTGCAAAAGGCGACTCCGGCAAGGAACAATCGAACTGGGACTCTCACCAATCCTCAGACGGAGACGACCCTGATGCTTATGAAGTCATCATCATGCTACTGTCGATGAGACGTGGGCCACTGACACCCAGCTTGCGAAGGCTCAAATGGACTCAAAAGAATACACGCTGTGACATAGATCCGCTCCTGGGCTCCGTGCTATCTGCCTTCGTCGCCCCGACTCTCCAAGCAATTTCTATTGAGGTCGGGGCCCCAAAGTCCGCTGTTTGGGGCTGGAGCCTGGTCACAGATCCCGGTGGTGCCCTCGGGAAATGGTTTGCAGCCCTTCCCGAGAAAGTGCCCAATCTCAAGATATTTCGTCTGGGTGGATACTTGGCTGAATTCCCTCTGGACTTCGTCAGCCGCCTCGTAACTCTTGAGGAGCTGGATCTTAGCGACCTCCACATGGGCAAAGCCGGATGGGTGAAGGCGCCCCTCTTGCGATCCTTTGCGCCCCTCACCCAAGTCAAGACATTTGGCGTGATAGCATGCATCGAGAAAACCGAAACTATTGAAGGCGACTTTTCCATATTTCCGAGGCTGGAGACTTTCCACGCGGAGAATACCATGCCGCTCGAGACCGCGGCGATCCTCAGGGGCATATCTTCGAAGCACCTGAAGTATTGCTATCTCAACGAAATAGACGAACATTTGCAAGCCGAACAGACGTACGTACTGTGCCAATCGTTGACAAAGTTCGCGGCCACTCTCACGACGCTGAGGCTGGATTTCGAGGAAGTGCGTGATTCAGGGTCTCCTGATTCGCCCAGAATATTCGCAACCATTGGCCCGCTCCTTGAGCTCCGTTGCCTTGAAAAGTTCTATATGTCACCCTGTTTTGCCGAACCGGAGGAGCTCTCGCCGTATCTGATAACTGACACTGATATCCAGCAGATGATATTCGCCTGGCCTAACCTACGAGAATTGCGATTGAACTTGTGCCCGGTGGACCGGGGAATAACCCTACAAAGTCTCGTGGCATTCGCTGACCACACCCCTGATCTCCGCTCCTTGGATCTTTACTCACTGGACGTATCGGAGGATCTCGATACGACAACGATAATGGAGACAAACCATCCGTTAGAAATCCTGAATCTCGTAAAGCCGACATACGCGAATCCAGAGGTCTTCGCTAGAGCACTCGATCGAATGTTCCCGCACTTGAACACCAAGGCGATGGTCTTGTGCCTCCCGGAGGACGTCTTGGAGCATCTGGACACTGTAGCAGAGGAGAGACGCAGCTGGCAGGAGATGACACAAATGATGAACGAGTGGATCCGGAGTGACGCATTCAAGTAGTATGTTATGGAGTTTCTGTCTGCTGCTCGGCCTGAATACTACGGCTTGCCACTGCTGTCCTCCCTCTCAGCTAACCGGACGTTGGGATTTCTCCTGTTAATTTGTGGTACGTTCGACCGTCCGTTTCTCTTGAAATTTACAGCAGAGGAGTATCTGTGGGTTCAAGGATATAGGGGGCGTGCCCAAGCCACTGGCATTCCTATGTAGTCCCTGGAGAGTTTTTGTGGCTGTAGGCGGGAAGCCTTCCATAGCGTGGAGGGTGCTCATTGGCGATATGTTGCAATGCTTGTGGATCTAAAAGTTCAAGGAGAACCCCACTTGTGCCCTTCAAGTTGCAGGATTGTAAACGACCGAGAGGGGGATGCACTTACGAGGAGGTCCCGGCAGCAGTCCTTGCGATGTCCACCAGGTCTTCCGACGGACTTCCACTGCCGCCGCCAGACCTTCCCCTCACGGGCATTGCACCCCATGCCTGAATAGCGACTGGAACATCGCATTGTCTTCCTCTTCTCGTAACGACATACATAACGTCTTGCACTCTAAACCCGTCGCTCTTTCTTCTTCGCTCTCATCGTCGTCAGGCTGCATACTGCAGCGTGCACCGAAATATCTCTCGCCGTGCTCTGTATTTGTCGTCTTCCGCAGCAATACCCGCTCCTACACTGTACTTTGCTAATCGCGGCCTCGAGGCAGCCTTGGATATCTGCTGGCCCTCGTGCTCAAAACGGACTCGTAACTTATTTGTACTTACCCCAAAGCCAACGACGGAGCTGAAGCGGTGAATCATGGCGGACCTGACGATACTGGGCTCCTCGAATCCGCTCTATCCCTCCCTTTCCGACTATGCCTCATCTTCAGGCTCGAAGTCGACCAACTACCTCGCGCGGCTCTCGAGGGCGCGTTTACCCCAATCGCCCTCAACGCCTTCCCTGCCCCGTAGCCCTAGCCCTCACGCAGGCAACCCGCCTCAATACCTCTCTCCACCGCGAAACACGTTTAAATCGAACGCACAGCGACATAGGCGGCAGCGCTCGTCCTCCGCGCCTCCGCCACTGTCCCTCCCTCCTACCCCTAACCCCGCCCCACCGCCGCGGCCCTCCCCCGCCTCGCCGACGTCCGCGTACACGCGCGCGATCCCCCGGCACTCGACCCGCGGCGTGCCCGAGCACCCGTCCACCGCGCCCATTCCGCGCAAGAGTCACAGCCTCCCGCTTCCCCCGCCCCGCTCCTACCTTGGCAGCAACCCGCGCACAGGCACGCTCCTCCCGCCCCCGCCGCCCCTCTGTAAGTCCCTCCACCCGTAACGTCATCCTGTCTGCGAATACTGAAGGACACCAATGATGATAGTCCGACCGACGCCGTTCTGGCGGCACCAACCGCGCGCGTCCTCGCCTACCTCCCCGCACCACCTCGTCCGCCGCGCGACGTTCGTCGCCGCAGGTATGGAACTCAACAAGCCGTACGGCGATCTCAGCGCGCTCGGGGTCGAGATGCGGATGGGCAAGGCGGGCGTCAGCGTCGTCTTGCTGCCCACGTAGTGGGTCGGGCACGTCGGCGGGCGCGCGATGCGCCCTGTGGTCGTATGGCGAGGGGGTTGGATCCTGATTGTTTAAGCCTGCTGCACCTATCACAACCTCCATAAGGCTCGCAGCCGAGTTTCCGCGTATGATGCAACCCAGCTTTCCCTCGGTGGGATCTCTGGGGCCTGAACACCGAGTACCTCCGTGGTCACGGCTCCGCTGTTGGAGGCGCAGTCTTGCGCTGCTCTTCCCTTGGCATGTGTAATACCGGAGTACCATAACTCTAATGGTGATATAGGGACCTTTAGGTTGCTCACTGGCCTATGTACGTTGTCGGGAGGGTATTATCCTATCACTCGCATAGAGAATGCTTGCATTTACTGCCTGGGTCGCAGCCCGCCGGACGTTCAGAGACTCCATGCGAGGCACATCGGCCTTCATCAATTGTACCTTGAGTACATAATAGCTTCCAGCGCTGACAGACGCTCGTACAGTACAAACTTCGAAACCAGACGTTCTACCAACGTTTCAACGAAAAGAACCGTATATACGAGGAAGGAAGAAAGCGGAAGACATCATGCTATTCCAACGCGTCCTATGTAAAGAACCTTCAACATCCAATTCGCTGACAGCGGCATGCTGCCAACTCACCAGTGCTGCTTCCCTGCGTATCCGAAGCGGGACAGACCCGGACGCCCTGCCGCGTCGAGCGGGCGTGCGCTTGAATAGACGTGTGCATGAGCTACGAGTTCGAATATCGGGACAATAACGCTGGGTGCTCACCTCACGCAAATGTGGCGGGAAGGGAACCCACCGTCCAGAGAGAAGCGGCAGGGGCGAAGATGGGCGGGCTTCAATTGACACGCCCGACGATGGGTTCTCTATTGGTGCAGCCGAGGAGAAAGCTATAGAGCGTCAGTAAAGGGGTGAATAGGTCGCATGACGAGAGCAACGTACCGAACATTGTCGCGAACAGCGTCGCGGCAATGTACGACTTGAAGAGCATGTTTGAGTCGAGGGAGGCGGGATGAGGAAGAGGTGCGTGTGTGCGGTGGAGCGAGGAGCGGGGTTTCCTTCAGACTATATACGAGCCCAGGAGGACACAATTATCCGCGGTACGCATGGTGTCAAGGACCGTTCGAGGCTGGACCCTGTCGATTCAGGTTATCCGCGCCCATGATTTCCTGATTCGGGGACGCAGTTGGAGCCTGAGGAATGCGGAAGAAGAGGACAAGGAAGGTGTGACGCTTGCTTCCGCTAGCATCCGCGATCGAATTGGTCCCGCGAGGTTGCGCGGGCAGTGAGCTCGCTGATGCTGCTGCTGTTCGTGGGCAGTTGGGAGAGCTCCATCGACGCGCGGGATGTTCATCCATGTCTCTCTGAACGATGGTGTGAGCACAAAATCCAGCAGCCAGGGTGAATATGGTGCAATGTCAGTAGTTCACGAGCCTCTGGATTTCGATCATAGCCGATGACGGGGAAGCATCGGGATAGACAAGCCCCAGGACTCGATGTTAGGCACAATCAGAATCTCCAGCATTCGCCTAAAGGATTAGATCTCATTCGACTCACAATGCTCAAGACAAAGCTACGGTAATTGTCTGACGAAAGGCGTAGTGAGCTGCAATTCGAGGCTATTGGGATGGAATGAAAGGACTCACAAATGTACTGATGCACAACTCGCTGAGCAACAATTAAATAGTACGCATGACAACTAATAATTGAAAGCTCATCAACGGCGTTCCTTCTCGTATTCCACTTGCACAGCAGCAGTCTGTCCTTCCAGCGTTTCCGCCGGTTGAGAATCCGTTCTGTACCGACCGTTATTACCCACCCATCCCATTTCTCCCCTCAGGTCCTCATAGAAGTCCCTCGTCAGCCCCGCCTTCTCCCGGTCCTGGGCGTTGAACGGGCCTTTCACGTCGCCCCTCCAGCACCTCCTCACATCCTCTCTGAACGTCTTGACCGGATCCACGCCCTCCTTCGCGCACATCCACGTAAACCACCGGTGGCCCGCCGTGACGTGCGTTACCTCATCCGTGTGTATCACCTCTAACACCTTCACGCTATCCGCGTCCCCCTGCCGTCGGAACTTCTCGATAGTCGCGGGGTTTACGTCCAGCCCGCGGGCCTCCTGCACGAGGTGAATGATAGCGAGGCGCGCGCGGAGGGAAGAGAAGGTGATGGATGCGGACTCCCAGAGGGAGGCGTGTACGGGCAGGGAGCCGTATGGCGTTTCGGGTGAGATGGCGGACAGCCGGGAGCAGAGGAGACTGAAGTGCTTTGATTCGTCTAGCGCAACCTTCGCGAAGTCGGAATAGAAAGCTGGAGGGAGGTCTGGATGGATGGGGCCGAAGCGGGCAATAATATCCCAGCTGATTTAGCGTCCACGCTCAGGTGATGAACGATCGGATGACTAGCTGGGCACTCACGCGAGGTCAATCCTATGAAGTAGGATAAGCGGATTAGGCGTTAGTCCTCGATGTGCTCGGGGTAGATTGGCTGTTCACTTACGCCCACTGCTCAATATTGGCGAGTGCATGTAACATAACAGCTCGATTCTTTCTCCGTCCAATCTTACTGGGGTCAACTGTGTTCTTCACATAAGCCTCGTGCCGAGGTGGGAGGTCCGGAGGCCGAGGCACATTCGAGCCCCTTTGACCTATGGACGATAACTGCCCTGTGCGGAACATATGAACTGCGTGCCTTGTTCGTTGGACCTAGTGATGGCCATCAGTGAACCCCTAGCGGGAATAACGAACGACGCACCTTCATTGTTGGATCAGCCGTATTCAGGATCAGGACTGCCCATTGTATCAACGTCTTCGGGTGATTGTCAAGGGGCACAATATTCTCGTCTTGAATGGGTAGATTGGTTGCCAGCCCATGCTCGTGCAGGGTCTCTTTCGTAGGAGGAGGATCCGCGAATTCTAGAGCGCAGTTGAATGGCTCGAGCGCGAGACATGTGATACTGGGACACACCTTCAGAGACCGGCCTCAGCTCGACTAACCTCCAGTTGTGTCCTTCTTCTGGCGTCTCGACCCAAACCTTTTCCACAGCAGATTCGTCCGAACGTATCTCGACCTTGTAGGTACACGCCTTAAGCCCCGTCTCACTATGACCAGTCCGTAGGTCGAAATCATATCTTCAAATCCTTTGGTTATATTACGAAGGAGTATGAGTTGCGGAAGGATACAGATAACTCACCTGTGCCATGGACAGACAGCCACCACGCTAGACTCACAGTCCTCGATCTCTGCGTGAGACATGTCTAGACCAAGGTGGGGACATGTCGATTCCATCGCGTACAACTGGCTATGTTGCGAGCCTTGGGACGAGCTCGAGTCTGCATATTTCTCGTGCACCGCTGTGTCTGACGATCCTGACAGGCGGAAAAGGATCAAGGAATGGTATGCGCCTTGCTCCGAGCGCAAAGTGAGCAGGTACCGCGAGTGACTGAGTAGGTCGCTGTAGGGTGCTACTCTGCGACAACATGTATTAAAGATTCTGTCATAAGGAACTAGCGGAAATAGCACTGACTGTAACAGATTCATGGTGTCCGGCAAGCGTCCTGCTATCGTCGAGTACCGGGTCGGATGCCGAACTCGATCTGGCCTGAAGCTGAATTGCCGGGCGCTCTCGGCCCTCTTCTGAATTGGCCTCTGGAATATGCGGGGCCCCACGGAGCTTGCGTGAAGACGAGCATTCGGTGTCAGCATGTGAGCCGACAAACCTCTGTAGGAATCTAGCCGAGTGGCGAAGACCGAAGTCGCCCGACTCCATCGGTGACGGTGCAGTGCAGGCTTCTGTTCTCGGTCAGTGCGCCTGCTTGATGAGTTACGTCTCGGACCACGGCAGGCCTTCAAATAGCCTGCGTCAGGGTGCAGGCATGGGCCACACGCGCTCACGCTGCTGCCATTCAAGACTTGCATACAATGCTTGCGACCCTCCCGTATGAATTAGTTCTCGATATTCTTCGAGGATTGTCAGTGCAGGACCTACTCAACGTTCGCAGAGTATGTTTTTACAGGAATCCAACCTAGTCATGCATTACTTATACTCTCTTGCAGACATGTAAAGAATTACACGTCGTCACCCAGGACAGCGCGCTATGGAACCACGTCCTCAGCGGTATCCTGAGCCTCCCTCTATCATGCGCCGTCCAGATTGGCCGCTCGCTGTGGCACGCTCCTCCGTGTAGAAGGGCTGTGATCGCTGCACGAGTGGATAAAAACTGGCATGATACGAACATCATACCTCGCCACATTCGATTCTTGCCAACCGCCCCGGGGCTCGAAGATGTCGTGTTGCTCCCCGGCGGTGAGTGGCTGGTATCCCTCTACCACGACGGGTCGTTGGAGTTGCAGGCGGTCAACGGCTGTCCGCATGCATTTCGGTTAGCTACGGGGATGAATCCCGCGGATCTGACAAGCCAGGGCAGTCGGGCCTATATGTCGCCGGCCGGGGACATTATGCTGGTATACGCACTCCATACGGGGTATGCTATCCCGTGTTCTCCTCTCGCCACTACGACTGACAGCATCATTCCTGCAGAGTGCATGTATATCGAGTTAATCTCAGTAGCACGAATAACACTGTCGAGCTGGTCGATGATGTCCCAGCAGCCGCCCTCCCTGGATTCCAATACACAGGCAGTGTCTTTGTCGGTGGAAACATCATGGTATTGTTATACATGGATCCTCGCGGGCTTTCATATTTGGACATCCGTTCAATCCCTGAGAACCACGACTCGTCCGTCAGGCAGGCTCGTATGCACATAGCCATCGAGCCGGACGATGCGATTGTAAGATTACCATGCTCTGCAGCGCGCCACTCTCTGACGACCGTCCAGTTCGCAGGATTCTGTACAGTGCAAATCATATCCCCCGACCGCCTCGTCCTCTCCACGTACCGGCGCATCTACATGTACGCCATCCCCCAGCTTACCGCATCGCCTCCAGACAGCCTTCACGACGCCGCCCTGACCGAGCCCATCTGGTCCGAACCGCTGCACGCCGTCCACCCGGGGGAGACCAGCGCGTGCTACGGCAGCCCCGTCGCGTGGAACGGCCCGCGCGGGCGGCACACGGGCGCGCTCATGCTCTGGCGCCCGTGTCGCGTCTTCGTGCTCGAGCCGTCCGCAGACCTCTGCTCGTGCGCGCTCAAGTCGTACCCCGCCCCGTACGGCGCGCAGCACGTCGTGAGCGGCGTGCGGCGCGGGTGCTACACGACGAACTTCCCGCGCGACGGGCTGCTTGTCAATCTGTACACGTTCACCGACGTGGATGACGGGGCGAAGAGGCCTGCGGTGAGCTCGTTCTCGCTCGGGCCGGGCGCGGGGAATGTCAATGTCCTTGGGAGTTCGCTGGATGAGTGGTCTGGCAGGATTTGTTTGCATATCGAGGACTCGTCATGGGTGAGGTCTACGTACACGGTCCTCGTCGATGTTGCTTGAGCAACCCATGGATGTCTTGACGAATCGCCCATATATCTTTATATATCTTCATAATGCACTTGTATCAATATTGAATTCAGCACTCTCGCCGTATTGCCTTCACTTGTTAGCACGCCCAACTCGTACTCCCTCAATGCTAATTACTTTGTTGAACTGCTCATATGCTCTTAAGGCGCTGTGTGATCGACGTGTATTCTTGTGCAACTAGTAAGTACTCTGCCAGTGCCGGCCTAATATAAATAATGCGAGATAAAATAGGCCTTTAGAATGGTACAAGTGGTGATACATGCGAAGGGAGGGCCAATAGATTAAGAAGGATTAACCTTGACATATCAGGTATATGATGGATACAGAGGATATAGAAAACGACGTAGCGCACAATCCCAAAGCAATGGTACACGTTCAAAGGATACTCATGCTCTTGAGGTGCGCGTGTAATATACCTTCACGAACTATAGAACAAGATTGAGCCGAGGACAGAGGAACCGAAGACCTTTACTGACCTCCTATAATGATGGCAGACGTAGTCCGGGTGTCCTGCGTAGGCTGTTTAGTGGATGATGCAGAAGGAAGGGTACCTTCACTCACGATCACAGAGGTTTCGTGGACGAATAGCGGACGATATTTCGGCGCAAATTTCTTCTGCTTCCGAATTAGCGCCTAGTGTCTCTCAGGAGAACACGGCAGACGTACATGGTATGCTCTGAATTTGTCCTTGAAGACTAAAGAAGGAAGAACGTAAGTGACTTCGTATACCTGGAGAATGTGGCTGGCTTACACCTGGTGATATTCTCTACATCATTAGGCTCGTCCCCATAGCTCGGGACATATCGTTTAAGTTTGACACCAGCGGCTACTGTGGACCGGAGTATATCAATCTTGTTGAGGAAAAGGACGAGGGTAGCTTTGGCCAGGAGCGGGTTCGAACATATATCTTTCCATAGGGTCATGGTGTCCTCCTAGGCGGCCGTTAGTTCGTTTCGCAGCCTTCAAAAAAGACTACCCACAAGCCGATTTATGCTTGGGTCTTCGTCCAGAGTTTGATTGAATACCAGCGGGGCCAAGAAGATGATTGCTTGCACTACAACGACGAAGTTATACCTCGTCGACACACTGGATGGTACTGGGATACGTGCCATCATCAAAATATGGAACCCATGTGTGACGCTATCACCATCCGACCAAAATCAGCCATGTAGTCGGATCGCTATCAGCAGAATCAACTTACCTGGCCGCGGCTACCGCCTACATCGTAAATGTACCATTCTGAGCCATCATGCGACCCTGCCGAATTGTCAGCTACTAACCTTGCTCGACATCCGAGGGAATTTTACCGGAATCCATCACAAACCGATGTTCTTCTACGCCGAGAGTGCGGATTCGAGCTCGCAATATGTCATCTGTAACATAAAATAAGGACAGCAACACATGCACTAGTATAACTGCCCACCATCCGTGGGCTCGTAATCGAACGTTGCTATTCGATCTACATCGTCCAGAAAGCTGAGAGAAGTCAGCCGATATATTGATCAGGGAGGCAACAATTTACCCACAAACCAGGCATCTCCTCTAGCCGTACTCCGTGTTTGCGCAGAACAAGTTGGACAGCTTTATCCTGCCATAGACCAATAACGTCGTCTTTGCACGCTACCAGAACGGCGGTAGGGTCGGATCTGTGCCTTCCGTCGCTCGAACCAGGCCTGCCACCTCTCGACCCAGGTCTCAATGGAGGGGGTTCGAACGTCGCGACTTTGTTGAGGATACCCTTCCACGCACTGCCGGCCCGGACGCAGACATCCCGCATGGGCCTGTTCAATGACAGTGTTTCAGGTAATAGTTGCTTCGTTAACTCTGACTCCATGGCAACAAGAGGAGATAGTCGCTTGCAGATTCTACGATGTTCATCTGTCAAAGGGCCCGACGACGACCGGTTGGGTGGAGAACGGGATGTTATCCGGACAGGGGACACAGGGGAAGATGGGACGTCCGAGTCCCACTCGTACTGTAGCACCTGGAGAAGCCGTGCTAGTGACCTTCACAGGAAGCCTCAGTTATATATCATACATGATATTTTGAATGCTAGCGTACCTGATCAAGTTCAACTGGATGACCATCCTCCATATGGGTCGTTCACTCCGAAAATGATTGGGAGTGAACGTCAACTGGAAATCTATGGCGATAAATGCATGAGCCTCTTGTAACTGAAGATACGATTATGAGCGTACTTTTCAATGTCGTACTCTTTCCTGATTCAGCCTGGCCTGAGGTACGTAAAGACGTCAGTGTTCTCTCCTGCACGCTAAGTCGAGGCTAATTAACCGAGGAGCAAGATCTTGATAGCTTTCTTCCGTTTGTCGAAAGCCTTCTTGGATTCTAAAATGCTTTCGTCAATCTGCCTCGAGACCCGCTGGGCGTCCTGTTGCTTCAGGAGTCGGGCTCTGCGCTCCTCTGGCGTCTCGTCCTCTGGCGGCCTCAATATGCGGTAGAACGGGTCGTTGCGTCGGTCGTCGTACCTTGTTGGTACGAGTGGCTTCGGCTGCTGCAGGATGGACATAGCGAGAGTTCAGCCTGCACCGGAGGCGCGGGGCGATGCATAATAAATGCCCCCACGTACTCGGGAGCGTCATCAAGATCAACATTACATCGGGTTTGAAACGAGGACAGGTGAGACTAGCCCTCTGAAAGCCATAGTCCGGATAGGTTTCCCAATTTGTCCGTCAAGCCCGGATCATGCGGCGCCACAGTGCCTGAATCAGGAGGATGTAAAGCCAGCGGAACAAGTAGTATTCAGGTCGACGCTTCAAGTTGAGCCTTGGCCGTGGCTTCAGATGTATAATCGACTGCCGATGAAGGTTTCGTATGCTTCCTTCTCCGAGTCGAGAGGGTCGCCTGCTGGCATTGCATACGGTAGGCCTTATATTTTAGTATGTAGTATACTGGCCAGTCCTTGAAGACGTCAGGAATGCTAACACATGAATCCGGATGAACAGACTAACGCCATGGTACCGCCTGGGTGTCCCGGCTCGGTACCTCAATCCTTGTCATGTGGGAGAGGTACCGACCGACCACTGCTCTCATTTTGACGGTTACTTCCATATTCATCTCCATGCTCTTCTCTTGGCCCTTGGAAATTTCTATTCAGAGGACTGTATTGCTTTACTGGAAACATGTGCGGGGCTGCTCAGCAACGATCTGTCGTTACTGGCGCGTAGACAGGAGCCAATCAACCCAGCAGGCGCACGTACTCCCGGGCCCGAGCGCTTCTTTTGTTTACTGTACAGCATCAAACGCTCGGTCACATCGGCGCCGCGGGGGAACGGAGAGAAACTGTCTGTCTGTGCTCATTCAGAACTTCCAAGAGAACAAAAGTCTCCCTAGCGAAATATTAATGGTAGCAGAGTGTCTTCGAAAGAGCTCGTCGACGAGGGCCCAGGGTCGCGTCTCGCCTAGGTACCAAATTACCTTCGCCCCTCCATCGTGAGCTTGTCGAATCAGAACGATGTCACAAGAATGATATGTGGCTTTATCTTTCATAGTTATCTAATGCATGACGATCAACCAGCTGATCAACCGCACTGACTTTAAGCTGCTGTGGAAGAACATCCAGACTTTGGGGCTTCGACCTACACCGGAACGGAGGATCTGCCTCAGGCTGATGGAAGGAGTGTAGTCTAACCTATAGCACCCGGCCGAGATATGATCCATAGTCCGGCTTCTGAAATACTGTGTCGGGATTGGTCAGAAAACATCCTAGACCATATACATGCAGTAACGACCTCCTGATCACTAGTGCATGTAATTGATGAATGGCTGATATGTCATACCAGGGATATCAAGAGTAAGCAGATACATCAGCGTTTGTACGCCCGACGCAACTCTATATTGAAGTTATCGATTGCGGCGCTGGCAGCTACTGCCTTACAGACAGCCATTAATATTACACGCTCCTCGCGGTCACGCTACAATCTGTCAGGTTCAAACTAACTTGCCTCGCAGCAAATATGGGTCCGCATTATCCTGATTACCAAGTGTACGCCTACAGCTACTGACCTAGCATGATTCTTCCGTATTTGATCTCCTGGACCGCGGATATGCAGCAAGTGTCATGGCAATAGCGCTAGTGCTAGCCATACCGTATGTGGCACAGAGATTGCTCCATTATCTCTGCACCTTCAAGGGAATGACGCCGTACGCAGGAACGCACAGCTCTATCTCATATTCCGGATACATCGGGGTTGAACTGCTGTCCTCAAGAGGCGTGACCGAATATTGATTGGGGCATCATCATGCCCACCTGTGGAGCTATATATCAGCTGCGCCTCGGGATAAGAGACTGTGCGACATACAACATAGTTCGGCATATCAACCTGTATAGGATCCAGGGGCCTCAGTCGGAAGCCTTGGGAGTACCGCTCAATGGAATCGACGTACCACCTCATGCAGTCGAAGATCTCCAGCAACGCTGCATAGCATGTAGGCCTCCGTTCTATGCAATTTATGCTCTGCGCACAGGAAGTCGATCATTTGTCTGACCGCAGACTGTGCGGCTTTTCGCATGTCTAGCTCGCACGGGCGGGATGTGTCAGAAGAGGTCCAATGGGTAACATAATCCAGATACATACCTGGTTCTACGCCCGTGGTGCAGTAATATTGCTCATCTTTGTCTGAGACGGAGGTAGAGAAATGAGGAGTCTTTGTATACGGCCGATCTTTCCGCACAGTGAGACGGACAGTCACTTTCATTGGCGTCTCGATTGCTGTTCCTGGTAGACACAGCGTTCGGACGACGCCAGACGCTGTTCACGTGAAAGACGTACCACAAACCTCTATGTAGATGAGAGATTGTTAATCAAAGCACTGGCATCAGAACGCCAAGAACGTTACTGCCACTTACCACCATCCCCTTGCGCAGCATGTCCGTCCTGTGTATAAAATGCGTACCGCTCAGCGGAGCGAAGGTTGATCGGGCTGAGTACTCACTCCTATAGAAAACAGGGCACCCTCCACTTCTATTGGGAGGAACAAGGTTGAGTCAACTGTCAAGTGCTTTGTATCGACGTTTCCGCCCGTATTGTACGGCGGTATTGTCGAGAAGGCCCCCTTCACACCCCTTGCAACCCCCATCTCGCCAGCGAAAGGCCTAAGAGGTATCTTGATGCCCTTTGCTTGGTCAAACCAAGCAAATCCTCCGGCCTGGTCCAACTTCCACAATTTCAGCGCCGGTTCAGGAAATTCATCGGCTAAGAGACCGAAGCCAGGGATGAGAGCTGACCATCCCCATCCTCCAGTTTTGATGGACAGCACATCTACTTGGAGGGTGTCGCCTGGCTGGGCACCTTCGACATACACAGGCCCGTTCACTTGGTCTAGCTGGGAGAAAACGAGGGAGTCCAACGTAGCGGTAGTCGAATTAGGCTCCAGTTGTCCGTTTGACGCATCGAGACAGTCGAAATCCACCGTTTGACCCGATTGAATTCGGACAACGGGGGCGATACTAGATGTGCATTGTAGTATTGATCATCACATGCACTGGATCCGACCAACCTGTTATCCCAGGCCAAATGACATTGTTCACGTCTGACGCTGTGTATCGACATGGTAGGATTCACTAATCTTATGATAGCGACACGGTCCCTATCCATTCATCGACGGAATGGGCCATCACGGGTCCCCGAATCGTGGCATGATAACGAGTTATCTCTGCCGAGGAGCTGTCAAGAGAAAGACACCGAGGCTACAATCTTCTCGAGGTGTCTACCACGTGTGTGCACGATCATGGTCGAGGAAATGGAGAAACATAGGAGTTTCCTAGGTGTAACGCGCATCCGTGGGGCCTTATCACAGCCAACATCCATAACACAATGCAGCATTCACACTGGCGCGAATGCTGCCCAATCCACGGGCATCGAGCGATGCTGTCTTCGGGAAGTACTCGAAATATCAGATAGATGCCGCATTGTAGGCCTGCCGTGGGGACAATTCCACGGCTGTTCAATGGCACCCATATGTCGGACCACCTTGATACGCGGATCAGATCAGTTTCAGCAACGTCTCCTCTTCACAATACCTCTACTCACAGTAGTCATCTGACTCTTGGTCAATGGCATTCCGATCATGACACTCTTCCGGCAGGCACGCATAGCGAACATCGCACGAGCCTTGGAACATCTTACAATCTGACCTGCAGGGCGGTCTCGCATCAAGTCAATAAGCTCCTCGAGGTCTGGATATTGATTCAGCGAAACAAAATACGGGACCATAGGCACGAACAAACCTTTCATATCAAAGACAGTGCCTTTGCTGACAGGTCGTGCCATAAGTTTGAGCCGCTGTCCTGTGCCAGGCAGCGCATCCTCGTCCACAGTCACATCAAAACCATTGCAACGTAGTACTTCGATGTTCTCCATGGCCAGCAACTCATCGGCTGTGGTTAGCTCCAGGTGTTCCGGCCTAGAGGATATTCGGCCTAGACATCACAGAAAATGATGGAGGGTACGCACCTGAACAGCTTTTGTGCCTCTATTTTTGTAGTCTGTTGCAGTGTCTCGAAGTTATACTTCTCATCAGCGGCGTGCTGATCGACAATAAATAAGTCGTCTGTTTTAACGACATTGCCATGGCCGGGAGCGCGCTCTACCCTGCGAGCAACGATGAATCCTCGATTGAACTGACCGATCACTTCCATATCCAAAAAGTCCTGCTTGTCGATGACCCTGGACAGTGCATCCGTGGCTTTAGCATTGTCGGTGGTATTGGAAATGCTAGCTTCAGCGGCGAGGATAGTATTCCGAGCCACAGCACTGTTTTGGATGCTGCGGAGGGACGTCAATTTAGCCCTAAAATCCTGCCAAACCTGAGAGACACGAGAGAAATCAAATCGCAGAGCAACTTCCTCGTCGTTCAATGTCCGGATAATTTCAATGGGAGCAGAGACAGCATCACTGTCCTCACGTTCAAGTGTCACAGCACCAAGGGTGAGGTCGACGACGACTTCCTCGGCTTCTGCTTTTACAATGATGTTCGGAGTGTCTTCCTCCTCGTCTTCTTCTGCTCCCTCCAGAAAGAGAGGTGTACTTGATCGCACGTCGGTCCCTTCGTCAGCTTCGTCCAACAGGGGTGGTCTGTCCGCGTCAGAGTGACTTTCTTCATCTACGCCAGCAGTCGATTCCCTCTCTGGCAGCGGTTGCAAGTCCCTGTCCTCTCTTTCCTCCTCGGCCTCGTCGTCCTCGCCTTCATCAAGCTCCATAGGAACCACCTGGCTACCCCTCCTCGCAAAGTCGCGGATGCGCGTTCTCAAGTTTTCTCTAGCCTCGACTCCCTCTTTTGCATCCAGTCGTGGCCTTTTCACGGGACGTTCTTTCTCGCCCGAACCTCGTCGCAAGTTCCAGGAAGCACCTGAGGTGTCCAGAATCATCTGCACGGGTGCGCTGCTATCGGCACGGGAGCGGCTTGAAGGCCTAGTGGCGGAGGTCCGACGGGAAGGTAAGACATTCGAGGAAGGTGCATCATCGAGTCCTCGAGGTTCACGCGGATGTGGTGTTCGGGGCCCCTGAGGAGGCGGACGCGAAGGCTTGGACACCGGGATCTGTGAAGCAGATGGCGAACCAGAAAGCTCCACGCCAGCTGGTAAACGAGAGTCTCTGGGAATATGACCTCGATCGCTGCTAGAAGACTGCGATGCAACCATTTCGTCCAACAACAAACTGGGCGCTCTAGGGGACGGCCTGTCAAGAGGATCCATCGGAGCCTTGACATCGTCGCGAGCAGAGCTCGAAGGCCCTTCATCGAGCAAGTTATGTCCCTCGTTATTATCTGTGTCAGTCACAACGAAAGATTTTGCAACTTCTTTTTGGATTCGCGAAACAGGGGAGGAACTAGCGAGCTGGCCACTCACGCCTGCAGATGACGGGAGAGCTGAATCCATGGTAATGTCTTCACTGGACAACGGAGACTCCACATCAGGTACAGCGTCTAAATTCCGGGCGTCACTCAAAATCCGATCAGACGCGCGTCGAGTCGCTTGCTTGCTCAGAGTCCCTGACGCATTCACATCAAACGTACACCGGGAGGGCGAGAACGATTCCTCGAGCTCTTGCTGATAAATATCGCATAGAATATGAGATGAAGGATGCTCCGCAAGATACAACTCACCTTCAGGCCTGCGACAAGGTTGTTCTCGCTATGCAAGAATATAGTCCGCTTGTCAGGGCTTACATTGATGTCGCATGTATCTGGTCAATGAAGTACTTCGGTTAATCTGTGATTCAAGCACCGTAGGCTGAGAAAACCCACTGGTAGGGAGAATGAAGTCGGCTACAATGAAGGGCGATTGAGTAGCATTAAATGTGCGGTATACCTCATTGAACGCCTTCTGCACCTAGCGAATCGCGAGATTGTGATCAGCGCAGCGACCCTGGTCATGCAAAATCAGGATTACCTTCGATGGATTACACGGCCGCCCATTGATGTAGAAAAATTGCCTATCTGTAGCCGCTCTGCCGCAACCAACTGCGAACTTCGAGACAAGCCCTCGGACTCGAACCTGTGTGCCACTGTGCATGTTGAGTCGTCCAATCCCATGAACATGATAAGTTGAAAGCGTGGCACACCTGTCTTCTCCTTCAGTAATCGTTCGCCGTTTGAGGACTGACTTCTCCGTCTGTACCTGAAAGCAGAGATCGAGATCCACTAGGTTCTCTAAAGACCTCGGCCCCCATAGGGAGGAGATTGAGGCTCTTGTCGAAGGGGTACCATCTGTACGTAGCTGGACTGTTTTGCGGCTAAAACAATCAAATGAGTGGAATCACATTCAAGAACACATGTGAGACGATATATTACTAACCCGACCTCAGGTTGGTTGGACACAGTCAGACGGACACCCTTGTTCTCCTTTGCACAGGGAACGAGAGCGTACGCACTGAGCAGGTTGAGTGCTTTCCCGAATTCCCGCTTCGCATTTCGTTCGAGCTCTTTCCGACGCACTGGTAGAGGCCTGAACAACCCCGTTATCGCAACAGTCGTACCCCTCTGCCGCGCCGTCTTCTCGCTCCGACTCTTCACTCGCCCGTTCCTGTCCAACTCCAATATTGTACCCATGGGTGCCTCAGAGGCGGTGGCAGTCGTTACTGTCACAGCTTCGCTGAGAGCACATAGAGAGGAGAGTGCTTCGCCCCGGAATCCGAACGTCAGGACGGTTGATAGGTCTTCGAAAGAAGCTAACTTCGACGTGTGGTGTTTCAGACCTGTGACGCGTCAGCGAAACGAGCGGGCAATCAGAGGAATTGGTCGGGCTGGGCGTACCGACACTGTCGTAGTCCTCCGGCGCAATCCCGCTGCCATTGTCGATAACTTCCACCGACTTTAGTCCGTAGTCTTTGAAGCGGACCTCTATGACCCGTGTCCAAAAAATCAATTTCTATGCATAGCTAGACACGATGAATGACTTACCAATGCTTGTAGCACCAGCATCGAGGCTGTTTTCAACAAGTTCCTTCACCGCCGTTTGCAGGTCGATCACTACCTGTCCCGACGTGATTTTATGCACAGAGTGGGAGTCGATTACTTTTATCGAGCCATTCCCTTCCGCCGTCATGACTCTGAGATTAACTGACACGAGTTTGTTATCGAACCTCCGAGAACAGAAGAACACCAGAACGATGTGAGGTCGAATTGGAACACAGTACTAGTAAGTAGGCTAGATACAAGCCTCCTCATTGATAGGCGAGCAATCCTGTCGCATGCGCCACAAGCGCGTACCGCTGCACAATCACTAAACATATCCAAACAAACGCCACACGCGCCCACCATCCACACGTGATCGTATCGTAATTTCGTGAGCCCCTTTATCGCGTTCGCTTTCCACCATTGGCACTTCCTGCCGCGATGGAAAGCGTACGAGGCGTATTCGCCACGCCGGAGCTGCTCAGGTATATCCTCACGTTTCTGAACGACAGTCCTAGGGCACTCGCAGTCAGTGCAAGGGTCTGCAAACTATGGTCCGAAGTTGCCTTGGATAATTTGTGGCAAAATCATCGCGTGCGCCCATGCGACCTGTTTACAATACTTTGCCCAATGCACCTCTCCCCTTCCTATAAACTGGTGAGCTTAAACTCCGCGATACCTTCTTCACGCAACTAATATATCGTTCTTCGTATCAGATGTTCGAGGGGTTACCCGATCCCGCGGGATGGGCGCGGTTCCTGACATATGCGCGTCGCGTTCGCCGCATAACTTTTGAATACTCTCTGAACTTCCCCCTCGAAGAAATCAGTCATGAAGCCCTGGAGGATATGGGCATGACGCGAACTACGGCAACGATACTGCCCAGCTTGACCAGCCTTACCTGGGACTGCAAGGATACGGTGGTGGCGTTTGACTCTGTCATGTTTCTGCATCAAGGCATACGGGAGTTTATCTGGTACCTCCCGAAAGTCGTGCGATACTCTCATCCCTTGTCTTCCTTCTTCACCAACGTCGCGGCTCGGATGCCTGATCTCGATACATTCGAGCTCCGTTCTGTTGCCCCCCTCAAATTGATCCAAAAGGACCTTCTCGAATTTCTTCCAAAGTTGAGGAAGCTGCGGAAACTCGGACTCCCCATATTTTATGTCACGCCGGAGGTGGCGCAAACGCTTGCTACAATCCCCTGCCTGGAGACCATCTATTACTCCGATATTAGTTCGCCATCCTACGGGAACTCGGAAGACGTGGAAGTATTCCGCCCTAGCCTGAGCAGCGACTCCTTCCCTGCGTTGAAGAGCCTCGAGATAGCCGTCCATACCCCTGAATTCCACCACATGGGGTCTACCTGGTCGATGCACAACCTAACTACGCTTCACCTCCAAGAAGTGACACCACTCCTTGCTGACACCGCTCTCAGCGTCGTCACCTGCATCTGCACTCAGTGTCCCTCCCTTGAAAATCTAATCCTCGACTTCCGCTGCTCCATGTTAATCGCGGACGAACAAATGATCGTCGACGATGACGAAGTGGAAATCGACATGGAACCGATAGATATCAAAGTCATTGAGCCGCTGTTTCAAATGCGACACCTCCAGCATTTCACGATATCTCATGACCGCGTTCTAGAGTTATCTCACGAAGATATGGACACTATCGCCTTTCGCTTCCGCAACTTGAAGAGTATTGTACTTAACCCTGAGCCATTCGTTACGGTCAAGTCAGCTCTGACATTAGGAGCGCTCAATTCGCTACTCCGCGAATGTCCCAACATTGAGGAGATCGGCTTGTACATTGACGCGACCCAGCCTGCTTTTGACATGTTGGATATACCCGAAGATAAAGAGGTAGGACGCGCCCTGAAGACGTTACGTTTCGGCACGTCCTACATCGAAGAAGTGCACTCTGTGGCCAACTCGCTCAGCAAGATCGTGCCGGTCAGTTGTACGGTCTCTCACGCGTTGCAGCACCGTGCACATTACATCGCCGACTGGGATCTCACGACGTGCTCCAACCGGTGGAAGGAGGTGGGCGAGGTGGCAGCTTTATTGACAACGGCCCGAGAGGAGGAGAGGCAGAGGACCAGGGAGCTGCAACTGGAGATGGAGCGTCTGCGCGCGCAGCTCACACAAGCTACACAACGATGAACGCCGCGACTTCTGCAGCGGCACGACAGTCCTCTTGGTCTCAGTGGGACGCTCCCAACTCGCTCCCCCAGTAGGGGAGGAGTAGCTCGGTGCGCACGCTTCCATCAATCCACATCAGTGGGACGGGCCACTGCGTGCCAATGCCCTTCGAAGATATGGGTGGCTGAGGGAAGAGCACAAAACGGAGCAAGACCGGAGGAGGATGACGGGTCCTGTGGCAGCGAGCTGAGGGAAATACGCCCCTTTCTGTATGCCTTCGGTGATGTAGCTGACACAGAACGGGTCTGTCGAGGCTATTAATTAAGCGGTTAAATCCATTACAGCCAAGGCAGGAAAAAGAAATGTACATGATGAGGTTCGAGCGTAAGAATAACCGGGAATATAACGGTTACACTGATGAAGGCCGAGCCATGATTCTGTGGTGAGTCGACTAGTGTAAGCTTGCTAATGGTACATGGTCAGATGGGTGGTATGAGCTACTTGAATTGAGAAACGTTCAGTCATTGTCACTTGGTATCATACCCCACTGCTTCCCACGGATCACTGGTGGATGTATACTCTTCCACAAACCTCTCGACTCTTTCCTCCCCCATGTCCAGAAAGGCACTTGGCAACCACGTCTCACTGGGCATCCAAAGATCTCTGTTATGCGCGATACGAAGCAGCTCGCTGACATCCTGCACATCGACATACTGCTTGTCGACCATATCGGGTCTCGTAGACCCCTTATGGTCGGACCATCCCTGCAGCTTCAGTAGCAGCAGCGCGGGCAGCGGCATCACAGGGATGTCGTGGACCTTCGTGATCCGCCCGCGTGGGATGGTCGGTATGCTCATGATGCCGGGGAGCAGGATATCGACCTTGCAGCTGCGCCTGTACCCGTCCAGGCGGAAGTAGAACACCCGGTACGTGGCGTTCGGTGTCTTGGGCTTGATGAGGTAGAACCGGCTGTCCGAGCGGCGGATGAGCTCCTTCAGCTCCTCCTGGGTGTACGAGCTGGTCATGACCACTATATCCACATCCTTCAGATCGATGTATCAGTAAACCGCGGTCGACGATCCTGGATTTTATAGTCCAATGATCGATTTCGGGACGTACATTAGGCGTCCTAGTCGTGCCGTACAGGTTGCACGCCATACTCCCGAAGACGCAGCAGGACAAACCGTTGCGCTCCAGAATACTAGTCGCAACGCGGGCGACTTGCCGCGTCTCCTCCAGTGTAGGGCGATCCAGGAGCCCCAGGTTCCGTCTACGGGTGCCGACGTTGCGCAGGGCGAACATATCGATGGTGGTCAGTAGGGAGGGGAGCCAAAGATACTATCGCTTCTGCCATTGAGCTTATAATACACTTCGCTTGCTTCCATCTGGAACGTGGTGAGAGGGTGAACACGCCTTGATGGTGGTGTGGTTTCTAGCCTTCAATAGACCACCTATATCCGAGTCGTTGCCTCTCTCTTTCACTGTGAGCGTCTAACCTTAACCTACAGCCAAAGATAGAGAACGCACGTTCGGCCTATCGATGGAGCGCGATCCAAGCTGTAGTTCGTTCACTCGAAGAAATTGCGATAAGTCAGCTGCGGCAAGGTCACTAGTCCTTGATGTTCAATGGGAAAACAATCGGGCAAAGCACTACAAAGTAGGACGGCGTGCTTAAGCGTCATTTAGTAATACTAGTGGCGGGAAACTGGAGGTTATTATGATGATACATTGGCAGAGTACTTGAATGATCTGACCTAGGCTACACATCAAAATTGCATGAAAAAAATCGTGATCAATGGATTGGATGAGGGTATGCATGGGGTGATGGAAATAAATAACATGAACGTCTTTCAGCATTGGCAAGAAATCCTCCGCGGCAGAGGCATTTTTGGGTTCCCCCAAGAGTGAGGCGGCCATTTATTCATCCCTCGTCATCACGAATCCGCACTCCCACCCGCCGACCTCCAGAGAAGTATTCACGTCCCTCCACACGCCGACAAAGTTGCCACCCTGAACGTACCCGCGGAACACCAAGCACCCGAGCACCGCCGAGTCCGCGTCCGCCTGCACAACACCGAGCCATCTCAGCGAAAATTCCGCCAAGTTATCCTGAGCGCATATACTCACCGGCGTCCTGAGCAGGCAGACCAGCCCGTCCCACGCGCGCACGCGCCCGACGAACTTGTAACGGCCCCACGCGACCCCGCGCGCATGCTCCGTCTCGCCCGTCAGGATGATGTCCGACACGCCCGACGAACGGTGCGTGACGGTGTCCTCCCAGTCCTCGGAGTCGATGTACGTGGGGTTCGAGTGAGCGTCCGCGTGATCCCCGTCGTCGCCCTCGTCGTCGGAGTCGCTGTCGTCCATCCACACGGTCTCCGCCTTGGCGGATTTGGAGAGGTAGGTGTGCGAAGACCCCGGCGGGGCGAGAGTTTCATACCTGACAATGCGGTCGAATACGGGGTCGTAGATTTCGAGGTGGTCCTGTATATACGCATACAATCAGCTCACCGTCTCACCAGAGTCCATCCCGCAAAACACAACACAAAACAAGGCGTACCCACCTCCCGCTCAACCAACTCGGTTCCGCGGGGGAGCCACGCATTCAACAAGTCCGCCCCCCACTCGTCCGCGCCCAAGTCGAGCGGCTGCTCGTCCGCCAAGCAGTGGTGCTCCTTGAGCGTGCAATACATGGGGCGGTGCGTGATCGGCACGTCGAGCGCCGACACCCGCGCAGGGCGCGTGAGGAGCGTGAGGAACGGCTCCTGCGAGGGCATGACGTACCGCCCGCGCCAGCGCCCCGCGGCCGCGCCGAACTCGTACACCTTCCCCCGCAGCGCGCCGCCGTCGCCGTACGGGTCCGCGCAGCCCACCAGGCGCCACCACAGCTCCTCCCACCTCTCGCTCCCGAGTATCTTCTTCTCGCTCTCCCCCGGCAGGGGCTCGTACGCGCACCGCACGTTCCAGCGGTTCTCGAACTCCTCGAGGTCTTCAACTGCGGGGCCCAGTGCGCCTTGCGCGTCCCGCTGCGCGCGGGTGCATACTTGCACGCCCGAGCGGTGCGTAAGCGCGCGCCAGCCGGCCCTGCCCGCGGCGGTGTCGAGTGCGAGCTGCATCTCTGTGCGCGCGGCGGAGCAGAGGATTGCGCCCGCGGTCAGTGGCGGGCACGCGATCGTGAGCGGGTGGCTAAAGTGCGTGAGCGTGCGCACGGGGGGCTGCGTCGGCGCCGGAGAGGGCGGCGGCGGGTGCTCCTCGGGGTCGAGGGGGACCAGTTGGTGAAGATCTGGGGCGTGGAAGGAGGGGTACTTGAAGGAGGCGACGATGAATGGGTGCAGGAGCCTTTGCAGCTCGAGGCGCCGGCGAGGGTGCTCGCGGAGCAGGTCATCTGGAAGTAATTGAGGATTTTTATATTGGGTACAAATGCGATGTAGACTCACCACGGTCCATGCTCATCCAAAATAGCCACACGATTAAGGATGCGACCTCTCTATTATTGAACCAATCAAACAACCCCCTGGTCAAGGACGCAGCTAGGATTTGCCACAAGAATTCACGAATACCCGCCCAACGGACGAGCAGGGTGCGGTTGTGCTTATCATGCTCGAGCATCATCAGGTACGCCGTCCAGAGATCGTCCGTGAGCTGCTCGAGGGAGGGCACCTCGCGCCTGCGCATTCGGCGGAGCATCTTGCAGCGCTTGACTAACTCTTTCGCAAGGCACCTGTCGGTGGACCAGCGGTCAGGGAAGCGGCGCTGAACGGGTTCCACATCGAACTTTGCGCGAAAGGCATCGGCGTAGAGCGCATAGTTCGTCGGGGGGCTGATGGCTGCGTGGATCGACTTGCAGGTGAGCAGGAGGGCGAGGAGGTCGGCGGGGGGCCCGAGCTCGCTGTTGGTCGCGGCGTAGAAGGCGATGCGGGCGAGGATCTCAGCGTTGACGGTGTCGAGGCGGGGCATGGCGGTGGGGGGAGGGGGAGCGCGGGGGCGGGTTATATACGGGGCCGTGTCAGAGACGGGCAGGTGATGAAGTGCAAACGAGCGACGGGGAGTTGGGTCCCTGCAGTCATGTCAGACGCGGTGAAGTGCCGTCGCTCCGTGGGCGTGGACCAGAGCAAAGCCCGTCTCCGAATGCCGTCCATCTCCTTTTCCGACCCAGGTTTGATCCCCGTCCGCGGCCCCTTTCGTCCTGTCCCGCCGGCACCGTGATATGATATGATCCTCCGCGCAAATCCCCGCCTCGCAACGCCGTTGCTTTGCTGCACCAGGTCACAGTTTCAGACGGAAAGACTCCCACCGACAACGAAATGCAGCCGACACGAGCATGCCCCGCCTCTTCTCACCGTCGCATCGATGCCACCACGGCCTTGAGAAGGAGGTCGTAAACCCATCAGATTTGACCGGCGAATCGTAACGAGCACTGCAAATACCTGTCGCGATCCGTTTTGTTCACCGAACAGCACACACTTTGCACCGAGATCGAACGCTTCATCTCGGCTTACGGCTCTGACTCCAAGATGAGATGAAGTATGTAAATGCTGCCGATTGACGCCGTCAACGTGGCGAAGCAGGCAAAGCGGTGAGCCGTAGTGTACGCATGGTTGTTTGAGACAGAGGGAAATATATCGCTTAAAGGTGAGCTATTTGTCGTTCTATCTGAGGTATGGCAAAGTACCAGTGAAGCAAAACAGAAAAAAGGAAATCAATATATGCCTTGGACATATCCATATATAGAACTGGCACTACTGTAATAGGAAGGAAGGAACGCCTTCGTCACACATCGCCTCGCCTTCCAATAGAATACTACGTATGTCAATGTTACATCAACCTAGCTTTCACTAACCCATGAATATCGAATTAGAGCACTGCAGCGACTTCACCGTCTGCCAGTACTTACTGCAGCGAAAGTGCCTGTCACTACCCAGTATCCACCTTTCATCGCCCCCCTCAATGCCTCCGCTCTCCTTCAACCAGAGAAATTCAAATCGAACTATCATTACATCCATCCGAGTCAAATTCACATGGCATAGGTAAACCATGAAAGACACCTCCCATTTTCTCGGAGCATATCCCCCCGCGCCGGCGCGCTATCAGCCAACGTAACCCGCTCCCTCCTTCGTCATATAAAACGCCCGGGTCACAGGACGCAGCGGATAAACATAGCTTGCATACATGAATGCAAAGGCCAAACAATGTCGGAAGGAGGCCAACGCGGACGCGGAAGCTGTATGATACCTACCTCAGCACCTAGCATTCAGCATTGACGATGTTAATAGCGTCGGCGCCTGTAGAGCCTCTCGAGTCCATATCAGATCTGGGCACACGGACATGGACACGAGCACCCTGCACGATCCCGCGAACCGTCCAATTATCCGACATGAACGCGAAAATGCTTGCATGGACGACTGGCTGCACGGATAGCTAGCTGCACTTGAGGAAAGAGATTTCAAACGCACTAACCACCGCTACACCCGTGCGAATGCGCGTGCCCCCATCTCCAGTGCGGCAGTGCATGACGAAGAGGGACGCCCATAAATACTCGCATAACACTACGCAGCAAAAGCTGAGTGCGAGTTCGCCGCCTACCGTCCGGTCCCCGCAAGATCCAGCGCGGAAAGCGTATCTGCAGCTATATCGGTACCAATCCTCAATTACTTACCGTGAGTGCACAAGCTTCTCCGGAGCCTACCTTCCCAGCCCGCTCCTATTCCGATAGCCCAACAGAAGAATATGACGAGGATGATAAATAGATAGATAGAGAGATAGCATGGAACAGAACAGAACAGAACGATATGGAAGATGGAATAGCGCGGAGTGCCACAGGGTAAAGAGGAACCCCGCCGCAGCCACCCCCACCCCATAGGATTGTCGCGCCCAAGAATAGACTAAGATGGAGAAGTCCGCGTTGGAGGGGATGCGGGGATTAGGCGTGCCAGCTACCAGGGAGAACCCGAGATGAAATGAAAGGATCGTCGAGACCCTGGCGGGCGGAAAGGCGGGGAATGTGCCTTGGATGAGGATAAGGTATACTGCGTGCGGGGCGGAGGAGGCGGTTCAATACTCCTGTAAGAGCAGTGGCCGCTTGGGATTCTTGATGCTTGATTTATGACGTCCGCGAGTTGTCAAAGGCGGGCGAGGATGCTAGGATACAAGTTCCTCGCATGTACCCGGAGTATTCTTGTCCGGCGGTACGAAGAGACGCCACCGTCGGTATGCCCCGTTTGTATCGTGCCGTCGGACATTCTCAAGACGCAAAGCTCAGACGGGTGCCATGACTGGAGTGTCTGCATACAAGGAGCACCACAGCTGTCAGCGGGATTAAGCCATGACTAAGCAACGAACTGATGTCGACAGCGATTAAATGGTCCTAATAATGACCGCGAATCCAGCGGAGAACGTAGTCATCTCGAGCAGCCAGCACTTAGCCCCCTTGGCGGTAGAACGTATGAATGTCCACACACATGTGGTAGGCTCGAGGATGAAGCGCCTTCTTGGAGACAACACGGGGAAACAAGCGAGGCGCCCGGCAGTCCTGAGCATGCGCAACGAATGCGAGTCAATTTGAGAATGGTAACCCGTCGGAAAGTGAGTACGTCGCGCGAGGGCTTGGCGCGCCTACGTCGTTGGATCTGCGTCTGATGCCCGAGGATAGAACGTCCGGTGTATAATCAGATTTAGGTTGCGCCTCCGACGAGGAGGAGAGCCTTGCTGACGTGCGGATCCGTTGGGGAAACGATAGGAAAGACGCCGAGTAGGACGCCGGCGTCAAGACTTGAGCGCAATGAACGTAATAACGCACAAGGAACTTGACCGGGAGTAAAGGAGTTTAATGACCTGGTTATGAATCCGGCAAGGCAAGTACGCATAGTGAAGTAGCAGAACGCACGGAGCCTCGCAGGATCAGCCAAGGACGGGTCGGAACGACTCACGGGGGAAACTCGGGCTCTAACTCGCAGAGCAGCAAGACCGATTGGAGAAAGCTGAACAGTTCGGCGTGCATAGATCAGAACCTCAAAGCGTTTTAGGGAATCCACTGGCAGACCTGTAATATACGGAGAGTCAGTTTGGACTCGGACACAGTCGGACACGCGACTCGCGTCGGCCACGTGTGCCACGTGCAACGGCAATCCCCGTCCGGACAACGCCAGTGGCGTTCGGACAAGTTCTGGAGATCTGCCTCGATCTCAGTTGCTTTACGCCCTGACCTTCACGTACTCGAGGTCGCGACTTGTCGCCAACGGAGTTCGTACTGCCGCCCACTGCGGGTAACGAAATATGGATATTCAGCATTCGCGGAGGGTGTTTCCCCTCCGACGCCGCAACCCTGAAGTGATGGGACCGCCCGTCGTCAAGTTTTAAGTAACGCAGACATGGAGTAATACCCGGTGCGTACCGGAGCCATAAGGATATACGGTAAATGCGACAGGATTGCCTGAAAGGATGTTCACCTCCGTCTTTTTCGCGTATGTTGTTAGGCGCCGCGGTCTGCCACAATCATCGTGCCGCACGGACGGGCCATACTATTCTCCGACTGCGCACTTCGTCTCGTTGTACATGGTGACCGAGAGCTCTCCATTACCGAGAGTGGGTAGCGATGGGTCAACCGCTGAATGCTGTACGTACTGTATTGGTCATTCCAGTTCGCCGTTGCTCTGAAAGGCCCAGCTCTCACCGCGAGTAAAGTGAATTCCAGATGTTTCGTGACAGACATCCGTTTATTTCAACATGTGAAAAACGGAAATCACCTATGCGAAATGCATGAACGCGGTGTTCTGCACGTCCACATACGTGTCTTCTATCTCCGCGGCTTCAGATCAATGTTGGAAGGCACCATGTTTGACAGGATATTGGTTCTCTATTGCACAAGGTAAACAGGTAGACTTAATCCGCACTCACCCTGTCTGCGGACTAGACTGCGTCTGAGGACGGGTCAATTGATACCTTTTGACTCATGACATGCCCGTGAACAGAGCAGGCGGGACGCGCGAAGTCCCGGTATTGGAATTGACCGATGAAATGAACGCTATGTCGCCGTTTCCGAGTCGAGTTTCCCGGCTCTACAACCCTGTAGGTAAGATCTAGACTTGAGCTTGAAGCGTTAGATGATGTCCTCGTGACCGTCCCGAGGCCACGCCTTGGCCTGGATGCCCAGACCCTCCTCCGCTAGTCGGACTTGTCGTACAAAGGAAATCATGGGCAGCTCCCTGGACAAAACAACAAAAACAGGTGCGTCGATGAAGCCCGATCACGGATCCTAGAAACCAAATCAATACTATGTCGCGACTCTCGTCAGCGATCCCATGAACTGCACTCATCGGCGCCGGCGACCACAAATCTTGCCAGGCGTCCACCTCATCCGAGCAACGTATCACATAGCAACACCCTGGCTAACAAGAAAGGAGGTGGGCTTACTGATAAGTCCAAGTTAATGTCCTTGCTCGTATGCGAAGCGGACAGGAATAACTGATCAGCTCTGTCTCGGGACATACCCATGAATGGCCAATAATTCCACGCCGCCGTATCTACAGGGCCACGCGACCTTGCCTACCCTAGACTGGATACGACGGGATGAATGCTGCACTGCTCTGGCCGAGTCCCTAACACTCGGAAGCCTGAAGGTAAGGGCCGACTGTAGCGCCGTCTTCCTAGTATGGAATGAATATTATGGAAGCCGTCCTCCCTAGAATTTTCCGGTCCTCCGAAATTGTCAAGGCGAGACTTGAAGCATCGGATGACACCCATCATAAAGTTTCCTACGGCCAAGCTGTAGCCTGCCCGCCCAGAACCGGAAAATTTCTACCGAGAGAACAAGCCTAGAGGGACTAACCTAAGTGAAGGCTAGTCCCCCTCCGCTTATGCGACTTCGTTGACCGCCAGAAACAGCCGGACGTCATACCTGGACAGATTGAATCCGTATCCCGCGGAGCGACCGTCAATATTTGCAACGTAAAATGCACGCAGCTGCGTCCATGGCACATCTACTGCCGCGGATATGGCGCGGAAAATATGTGCGTAAATGAATCCCGATCATGATAGTGTCAGTGATGCTTACCTTACAGTTTCACGACGCTCCGGGGCCAGGCTAAGAAACATCCAGTCAGCAGCATCGGATGAACATGTCCGTAGGTCATACAACCGACTACCGTTTTCATTCAAACCACGCCCAAGCTCAAAGCATCGCGCAACGTAAACTCGCAAATAGCCTTGGGCACCACGTCTGGAGCGGGCTACTGCCAAGGACGTGGCGCGCAAAAGATGTGCGTTCAATGAACCCCGATCATGATAGAGTGTTAATATTAATGTGCTTACCTTACAATGTCACGACTCTCGGAGACTTGTGCAAAATAGGTTCGATTAGCAACGTCGGACCACATACGCCAGCATATTCTACTAGGCGACGAGCCAACTACCATTCGCGTACCTTTCGCACCCATACCAGACTTGCGAGGCGAACAAGGTGAACGCGCAAGCAGCCTAGGGATCACGTCCGCGGCGTGTTCACTACCGCGGACATGACGCGGAAAAGATGCGCGTAAATGATCCCCGATCATGATAGAGTACTGATAATGCTTACAAGTCCTAACCTCCGGGACCCGACCAGAAACGACCCTATCAACAACGTCGTCCGACCTATCACCATTTCGGACGAACTTGTGGTATACGGTCGGAACTCGGGGGGCTGTTCTGTCTTCGAATGGGTTCGCAAGTGTACTGCGTGTAGACTGCGGGAGCATAGCCAAGTATCAAATGGGTGAGTGATGGCCGATCATAGAATATAACAGATACAATGAGGCTTGGACAACGTCCATGCCCCGACTCGGACCGTCGAATAACTCTGTCAGCGGTGAACATTTACCTGCCAAATTCAATTCCTGTTCGTCCTGCCTTGACTGATGAATACCGTCGAAAATCTCGAGGCAACCCCCCTCCCCGGTTTGAACGCCAGTGATATATGCACCGCGAACGCAGTGCTGCAGCCCGCCCGCAAACGAAACTGACCTATTGACCGGACAAACCGAGAGGGACTAGCATGAACGTAAGCGTAGGCTCGTCCGCCTCGGCGCTTACGAACCCGTTGACCTCCTGCCGCTGCAGCGACGACATGCTTGGACGGATTGAATCCACAGCTCGCGGACGAACTCGATACTTGCCACGTATAACGCAGGCAGCCTGGGGAATTCCGTCCGCGCGTATTCACTGTAACTTCCGCGGACATGGCGGGGAAAAGTGTGCGTGAAACCCCGATCATGATAGAGTATCAATGATGATGAGGCTTACAATGTTCTGCCTCTCGGGTACCCACCTGCAAATGACCCTGCAGGGTGCGTCGTCCGACCTACCACTTCGACCCGCTTGTGGTCTACGGTCCGTACTCGGTTCGCTGTTCTGTCTTTGAATGGGTTTGCTCTGTCTTGGAATGGGTTCGCAAGCTGTCGCGTATTGTAACAGCCTAGCGAAGTATCAGATGGGTGAGTGATGGCCGATCACAGATACAATGAAGCTACCACGTCCCGACTCGGACGCGGACTCGGACCGTCGAACAACCCGGCCAGCGGTCGTGAACAATGTTCCACGGTATCCGCCAAAGTCATTTACAGTGTGGGCTTAGCTCGGCATCGCCCCGCCTTGAACAAAGAATACTTCGAAGTCCCAATTGAATGCCCCCCCCCCCCCAGTCGCCGGCTTCGAACGCCACTGATATATGCGCCCCGAACTCAGAGCTGAAGAATAAATACATAGATAGATAGATACACGGATCACGCACCACATCCTCGCCTCGAGTCAAAGGCTCACAATCTCCCGTAGGTGATGACATGGACAACCCCTGATCGCCGTCCCAAGACTGAACGAACGGAGATCAGCCTAGGACCAAGGCGGTACATTCCCCAGGCCTGTCTCATGAGATTGGCACGCCGAGTGTATCTGCATCTGCCCTAGGCCTATTTTATTATCTGACACATACCCAGGGCCACAGTCAGCAATGTCAATATTATTCGGACTTAGGGCGGAGCCCGTACGAGCAAAGTAAGGGTTTTAGGTTGGGGTGTGAAAGCGTAGAGGCACCATCAGCGTGTCCCCGCCATGGGTCGACTAGTGTTAACGTCACCGGCCATGATCAACTCACAAGCAGCATCGGCGCGCGTGCAGCGAGATGACTGGTAGAGTCCCCGTGGAGTGGGCGTATCAAAAACCTCGGGTGTACATCATAGAGCGACTCGCTAAGTTTCGACTGCCTGTTAGAACTGCTTACAACAGGAACTGGACCCTGGTCAAGACGGAGTTGTCGAGGAATGCGACTACTGTCCGTACCTCCAGACACACCAAGCGGCTCTTTCGGACTATAGACTGATTGTCTCTGGATAGTAGCCTGCATACCTTACCAATACTGCATGCTTATTCACAGGCCAAGATCATGTATAACATCAAAATACAAGATAGATGAGGTAGGTACCTATTATCCACGATATATACAGCAGATGTCCAGTGTCCGTGAATGCAGTGTCCCTCGGTCCCTGTCGGATATGAGGAAAGGAATGTCGTAACGTGTCCATGGTGGACTGGCTCATCGCGTAAGTCCATTCTTTTCTCATCAAGCATTGTCAATAGCGTCTGCGCACAGCCCGCAGCCGATGCATTCCAGGCAGGCTGTAATGAAGGCGTACTCAGTGAAGGCGTTAGGGTGGAACGAATGAACACATACCAAGCCCTCCGCAGCACGCGCAGAGATAGCAGGGACAGCAGAGCGGGTTTTCGAAAGAGCCTGATTGGGATGAAGGCGGTCAGGTGCGCAACAAGCGGCTACGATAGTCAATCCTCACCTCGGCAGCACCAGAAACTCAGCATATGATACCCGCCACTACAACGAGGAACAGCCCGACAAATATAACGATCAAGTACACTGTCCAGTGTTAACACGAGGGAACCGCGAGATCAATTACGAGTCTTGGCAGAAGAAATATGAAACGCACGTTTATGGTTGACGAACGTCCCGTTGTTATTCCCCGTCCCATCGTCCACCGCGCGCTTCAGCAGCTCCCCGCCTACGCCCTCCCCGCCGCCGAAGAACACCGCCGACAACCCCGAGTCCGGGCTTGCGAGCGCCACGCACGCCGCGAGAGCCAGCGAGAGGAGGAAGACCAGCGCTGAGACGAGCAGCCAGCGTTTGTTGAGACGGTGTCGGTGCGAGCAGCGCCCGCCGTGTGCGCACTGGCTCGCTGAGCCCGTGTGGTAGGTCGCGTAGAGGTCCATGTCCGCCGGGCTCGCCGGCTGGTTCGTGATGGGGTATGCTGGCGCTGATTTCGTGTCCATGATAGCTAGAGCAGGGCGACGCTGAAGTGGAACGCGCAGACGGGAGCACGAGGGTATAAGAGGCGGTGGTGGAGAGAAGAAAGTGTTTCTGTTGCGCTTGGCAGCACCGCCGTCATCGTCCCGAAATAGCACTCGAGTTTGAGTGGCTGCGCGACTGCGCATCGACTGTGGCTGTGGCTGCCAGACTGCAGCCATGCCACACTAGTTTTCAAATTCCACCCAGTCCTTCAAGACGACATACGCTGTATTGACATATATTCCAGAGGATTTTAACGCAATATAAGATGGCCCCTACGCCACCTCAGTTCTTGTGCGGGATGCAGAAAAAATCATCTCGACACACACAGTTCCACTCGGAGAAGCCCTGACCAGGGATACAAGTACAGGCTTCCCTCCGGTATGCTCAGCTATGCTCCGAATCCTGCTGGTCAAGGATGTATTGCCGTCGCTCTGTCTATCGCGCATAGCCGTGGCGCTTCCGCAGTACTTACTCGACCTGGCCCAGGCGTGGATAAATTATTAGATTTCGCCCAGTCGATATCTCCTGGCTTTCCTCTTGCACTGGAATGAAATATGACAGTGATGGGAAAGTACTATGCCCACAATTAATCTCGACACAGTACAAATCAAGCCTCCATTAGACAACGAAGTACCGGCGGTGCCGCAAATGTTGATGGATGCCGCCCACATCGTTCCTTCGTCCCTCAATAACTTCAACGAGAAGAGCTCGTGAGTGGAAGTATCAGCTGTCTCTCGGATGTTGATGCTGATGCTCGAGACAGGGGGACCACGGTTATACTCGGGATATGCTTCGTTCCTGGAAGAAAGTCGACATAGAGAAGATCAAGGGATCCAGAATCAATTCTCCATGCAATGTCATCTACATTACAGATGACGAACATATGCATTTTGGGAAGTTCAGTCTCCATCCGGACGGAAGTGAAGTGAGACCAGTCTATGCAATGTCACTACAATCTCAAGCTCATGTTACATTATATAGTATCCTGGTAATCCACACAAGTAAAAGGCAAAGTTTACTTGCGACTTTACGCGCCTAAGCAACGGAGCAAAGGAAGCCGGCGTCGAGATCCACGCCGACGTCGGAGTCGAGCCGTCCGATCCTAGGCTCATCAAACTCCACGCGGCTTTCGCCAGGGTCCTGCATATTTGTGGTGTTGCTGATTGTTTTGCGTTTTTGGGTAGCCATGGAAGCGGGGAGCCCGCGCCCCTGTATTTGAGCCCGACGGACTTTTTCGCTGCTTCTGATCACAAAGCTTCACGCCGCTCTTTATTCTGTCTGACCCGGCAAGAAAGGCGGCAGGGAAAGGCCCATCACTGCAATGCCGAAGGCATGGGCATCGTCTTTCCTCGACTCCCGTGCCGCCTTCATTGACGCGCAGACGCGAGCGCTCACTGACTGCCGACAGGTTGGCCGGGGCAGCTCAGACGGGCTCTCTTGATGACCCGAGGACCATTCCTTGTGCGTTGCGACGTACATGAGCAACCCCAGGGACGGTTGGATTTGAAAACATGCATGCTGAAGGATTCTGGACCTAGTAATTGGCCATATCCCATGTTTTCTCGGACCTAGAATATTCAGCAGGGGCAATTGGCTGGTGCGTACTGCGGGGAAGCTGTACTGCCGTAATATATGGAGGGTGTAAAACCTTGTCGCGGCTCTTGATGTAATACTGGAGTACAGTCGAATCTCCCTCAACCCATAGTGGTCGGTGGAACCCCAAAGTTATGGGTTTTTAGGGAGCATTACCAGAGTGTGACCTATTGTGACACTGGCGGGGAGCGTGACAACCGAGGGTCTGCCCTGGCATACTCCGGACCTATGGGTATATAGCACCATACGGACATCACTCGTGAAGCGCCGTCTGGCGCCGGCAACTTACCCCTCCTTTGTTCAAGAAATTGACCTTGAGAACTTGCACTAAGTTCAAGATGTTGTGGCTGCTACACGAGGTCGACAAATTTATAAGGACAGTATTTCTACCATGTAAGATAATGCTAGGGATATTGTTAGTAATATACTGTACCATTTCGATCTATTCGGCAGGCGGTGTGACGTGTGACTCATCTGACCGATTCGTCATTTCGGCATTTTACTATATATGGTGCGAAGTGGCGCCGCAGGCCAGCTTCTGATACCATATATGGTAAGTCTCACGATCCCAGAGGCCCTGTGACCGGTGACAAACGCCAGATTTCGTCTTCGGCAGGTACCCCTGTGACGCGTGACCGCCGAATAGATCGAAATCATCTGAAAGTCGACCCCACTGGGAGGTCACACCGCCGAACGCGTTCGCGAACTGCAAATGCGAACGTGAGAACCACACCACGGTGCACGTGGGCGCGTGTCGATTCTGTGGCTCTGTCCACCGGCCACAGACGCGTACCCCTTCTGCTTATAAGGCGGTAGGGCCGTGTGAGCACGGCAGAGCCCGCTACCGTAGATATAGATGATATTTGGTAGCAAGTTGAACACTTTACATCCTGAGCAGTGTCATTCTATCTATTTTGCGAAAGTAGCTGTGTTCCAGCAATTATTTCTGACTGAGCATTCAACTCAATGGCCTGGGGTCCTGAGAGATGTCCACTCATCCCTCCCTCAGGTTTCAAGAATACAAGTTACATATGCAAAACAACTGACATCAGAGTATTCTGATTTCACCTTGAGACCGCAAGGTCCAAGGCCCCGAGCAAGGTCAGTTCTGTCTCTGAGTCCATTGACAATCATCCGCCACCTTGGCTATAAAGGGCAAGAGAATGACACATGGCATGACTATCGGGGTCCTTCAAGGACCCCACCTTTGATTGGTCCAAAGCCCTGTCCCGCTCTTGCCGTTCACCATATACGGTTAAGCACCAAATAGTGTCAAATAAATCGCGTAGATCTTGAAACGATCGCAGGTTTCCTACTGTACGAACGGCCGGGGGGTCCAAGACCCACTACCTACGGTAGCGGGAATGATAAAATCTGCATAGCCTGATGGTTTTAACTTGTAAGTTTATTGTATCAGTCTGTGAGATTGAAATTGCTGGGTTATTGTAAAAAAAAATGTGGTGAGTAATCGAAGCTGTCTGTCCAATTGGGGTCACACGAACCCATTGAAGCCCCTTCCGTGCCCTCCCCCTAACAGTTTCCATGGTCAATACTACTGGCATTGCATTGAAAATGTGATGGACAACTTGAATTCATGGAAACTACTCTATTCACGTCATCAATATCCCTGGTATGGTACAATAATATGTGCATAACAAACTGTATTTTATGGATTGAAAGCATAGCCGCCATTGCCTTTTCTCGCTCAATAACAGTTGCGGTGTGGCCGATTCCCCAGGCTCAGGTGGCGTGGCATCCC